AAAAAAATATTTCAAAGTATTTCTGCTTGTTTCATTCAACATTATTTTTTTTCTTTTGGTTGGGTTTGACGTTGCACCAACACAGTATAGGTCATATGGCGACTTTCCAGCTTTACTTGTGGAGGAAGACCTCTGGTGCCTTTCTGTGCATTATTTCAGGCACAAACGGGCACCTGCGACCCCCTAGTAGAACCACTGACATTCCATAAGCTAACTAGATAGCTTCCACATAACATTATTTATTCAGTTTGTTTGATTGAAATTCAGGCATGAATGGGCATGCAAGTAAAACCATTGACATTCCGTAAGCTAGCTGGACAGCTTGCTCACATTAAAGAATCCAATGTCCATATGGGGATTCAAATCCACAACGGTGAGGAGCAAGTGGTTTGATGTGTGCGACCTGAACCACTCGGCCATGGACACCCTTTAGAACCAGAGGGCCAAGATGGCCCTAGATTGCTCACCTGACCCATCAGTCTCAGTTTAGACAAGCATCCTGACTAAGTTTGATGACACTAGAGTCAAAAATGAGACCATTAGTGTTAACAAGGTTTTTCCATATTTGGGTGGTGTGACCTGGTTTTTGACCCCAGGTGACCCATATTTGAACTTGACCTAGAAATCATCAAAACAAACTTACGAACCAATTTCCAGGATATTTGGATTACAACATTGTGTGTGTAGCCACTAGAGAGTTTACAAGATTTTTCTATTTTAAGCTCCTGTGAACTAGTTTTTCGTCCGAGATGACCCATGTTATGAACTCATGCAAGCAATTACCTAGACAAGCATCCTGACAAAGTTTGATGATGATTTAGGCAAAACTTTGATCACTACAGTGTTAACAAACAAATGTGGACAGACAACAGACGACGGACATTCTAAAAGCTCACTTTGAGCTAGAAAAATAACGGGCATAAAAACTAGGCAAACAAACAAAACCTTGGGTTGTCCTCGTCACTCGTCACCGGGGTAAGGTAAAGGTCATCAGTCCTAAAAATAAATTTTAACACTTGCTCAAACAGCCTTTATTGACAGAGGTCTGAAATTTGGTAGGTAGTCCTCTATCAGTAGTTTTGGGTCACTTGGGTCATGGTCACCAGTGCTAACAAGGAGTATCTTATTTTTGTCAGACAGCCTTTATTCATTGACCGATATCTTTCAAATTTGGTTGGAACATACCTTTGTTGGTCCTCTACCATCATCAAGACAGACCTCCATGTAAGTGGAGCATTTGGCCTATGTCTAGTTTCTTGAGGTAAAGACAACAAACTAAAAGTTTGGGTTTTTCATCATGTTTTATTTTAGTATCATAAATAACATTACAACACTAACCCTCTGAGTATCGCAAATAATTTTTTTTCTTCTTCAAGAACTTTCATTTGTTTTGCTCTGGTTTTTATTAAGGGGGAAGGAGAGGTACACAAGGGTCACGGAGCATTTATTTCTAAATTACGTGAAACTATACACATAAAATCTACAAAAAGCACACCTTCGATGTTATAAAATTATAGAGAAACTTAACAATAAAACATCATCAATGTCTGTTTACACATTTTAATGCTGCCATATATCTATACAGTGACTTACAGTCATAAAAATTATCAATCTGTGATAATATAATATATACGGTATATACAATATAACTTATATACATTTATAAAACATTTATAAGCAATTCATTTTTTAATCATATAAAAATTACATTATTTACACAATTTCTCTCTTGATTGTATTTATTTTTTACACAACTATACACAACAATATATATATTACTATATAACCAAATGATTTACAACATCATCTGAAACAGTTTCTTCAACCATAAATTACATTAAACATAGTACATGTACCTTTACCCTGGTAAATTTAATGAAAGTTTGCAGAAAGGAGTTAATGTTATCACATCCCCACAATTTTCCCTTAACTTCACGCTAGCCTAGCTTTACACTTGTGGCAAGGGCTAATCACTTCTTGCAGCTTAAGGGTAAGGATGAAGTTTTATTAATTGTGACAAGAGGAACAGTCTCCAACACACATCTGATTGGCTGATTTCAAATTAAAATTTGAAACAGACCAATGACAGAGCTGCATTTTGTGACTGGTACCTAACTCCTATTAAGTTTTCAAATATACATGATATACATTTATACAATACCATACAACAAAATTTTTCTTTTATTATTTCAAGAGAAAAACACATGTACATAAAACAATACTTAACGCTGCCTACACACCTTTCTTTCTAATATGGCACAAATTGACTGACCAATAGATATGGCTTAATCCATGATTTATGGCCCGTTTCTTCTATGAATAAAATAAAGGTCACATTGAATATCAATAAGACAAAAACAATCACAATAACCAACCTCATACAATAAAATCAGTCATTGGTTAGTTATAAACCTGTTGTTTTAAACCAGCCAATCAGGAACTGGTTTACATACTGACTGGTTTTCAGAATATCAAATTGGTTTTAATACAGACTGGTACCACAGGTTTTTCACAGGCTTGTGCACACAAAGCATGCAAGTAAAATGGAAACACACTCTCAGGAAGATAAAGATTACCAGTAGCAATTACAATAATGATCATTTCAAATAGGAAGTTAAGTAAATTTCAAATAGGAAGATAAGTTATCACTGGGTAAAACAGCACTTAAATTCACCGAGTTGAAGAAACTTGTTCAAGTAAGTTCAAATGATGCAAAAATGAGGTCCCTTTTAGGTTAAGACAAATCTTTATTTCAAATGAGAGGCTCTGCAAAATCAAATCAGATGTGGTGGTATTGCAGTTTATAATACTTAATTTCTAACCTGGAGAACACTTTGAAAAATTATAAATACACTTGACATCTTCCCTTTGAACAAGTTCCTTCACTATCTTATTCACAACATAATAAAAACTTTAAATACTCTAAAAGCATATTTACAAACACAAAATAACAAACAAGAATCAAATATGTCTACTGCAAAGCAGACATTTTCAGACATTACGCTGTTTTATGTATCAAAATTGCACTATATCAAATTATATGAGCAAACAGACAAAATACAGAGCATATATAGAAATAAATATAAATAATTAAGTACATCTACACACACTTTATTATTTGGTAAATTTTAATGCCACTACGAAAAATACAAAGACAAAAAAATTGAACACCAAGCTTAAAAACACATTTCATACATTATTTGCAGAGCGATTAACAATGTTGATAATTAACAAAAGTTTTGCAAAAATATATGAAATGTATTTTTAAATTCCTGTTACATATTTATTATTACTAATACTTTTTATATATAATATTCAAATATATTGAATAATTTCAAAAATGATTAAGTACCAGTATTAAGAAATTAGAAAAAAATAATTTTAATTTGAAAATTATTTTAAAAAGCTAATGCGAAATAAAAGTTAAAAAAAATATTCATTCAGTGAAATTCTTCCATTTCTAAATCCACTTACAAAACCAGCAATATAAATATACAAGTTGGTAACTTTTTAAGTTGGCAACTGTAAAAAGTGTTAAGTAAAATACTAAAAATAGTTAATAGAAAATGCCTTTTTTTCTGTCATCAATACTGTTAATAATATGAAACAATTTTAATGATATGATAAAGCCTGGTGTTTTTTTTAACCTAAACATTTGTGACTTATACAAGTGCTGAGGTCCTTACAATCCCATAAGGGATTTATGAAATATTGTGTCACAAATTGACAAAACTGGCTCTATTTAGTTAGCTGTAAAAAAATTGACAAAACTGGCTCTATCTAGTTAGCTGTAAGAAAACAAGATTTTGCTTAAAACCTCAGTGGAGTTCCCTTTCAGTATTTCCTGTTATAGCAAGTACCCGAATGCAAGTGTACAATTTTCTACAGTTTGAATAAACGGTTTTCTAGCACTGAAACTGTTTGAACAGTGCAGACAAGATACTAAGTGAAAGAAATTCAAAATAGCAAAAATGGTATAATTATCATTTATTGATAAGGAAGAAATCTGAACAGTATATTTCCTATTTTTTTTTTAAATAAAAAAAGGATGAAAAAGAAGCATGCATGCTGCCAAAGTAACACTTAAAAAAATACACATGCATTGTCCTAAAAAAATACTGAATTCCAAAGCTTTGCCACCAGAATATAGAGTCAGGATATCCTGCACATTCCTACAGTCTGACCAGGCTTCATACTATCAAAATATTTTAATCAGGCAATCCCTAAATCTGATAATGAACTCTTCTTCAACAAAAAGTTGGAAGAGTCCACTCTTAAAATCAGCAGGAATGGGGTTAATCAAAAACCTATAAGAGTTTAGTGAGAAAAATCGGGCCCTGAAAACAGTAAAATTATTACATTAATTTTACAGTAACATTTTCTTTTTTCTAATATATAATTATTACCCCAATTAAAAACGTTTAAACCCCAAAATTTTTTTCTAAAATTATTTGAGATCAAACTGAAAATTATTTTCAGCACACAATATCAACATAGCCATTTACCATCACACTCTATAACAAGCAGTAGCACATGTTAAACATTTGCATATTCATAAAATAAAACACAAAAAACATGCTGTCGTGCAAATTTTGGTCAAAAATACGTATAAGAGAATAACAATTTTTGTTCCAGACCGGGAAAAAAATTTAAATTTCAAAAACCCCGAAAAATGATCATTTATTTATTGGGTTTAAATTTTAAATGGTTTCCCCCCCACCAGGGCTCCAAACCCCAAACCAAACAGAAAAAATTTTGCGCTGTTTTAAAAGGAGTGGATTTTCCAAAATTGTTTTTCTTAAAATTTGTAACAAAAGTCAACTAATTTAAAAAAAGAAACAGTATCAAATTTAAAAAAGGCATACCAAAATAATTGGGAAAAAACAAACAACAATAAGAAAATTTCAACCATGGGAAAAATTTTTAACTATCAAAGGTTTTGGGTTTAATTTCCAACTGCTTACCGTCATATAAACCAAAAATTTTTTGGTTTTTTGGTCAGATGGGATTAAAAACTGCCATTTTATGTAAGATATAGAAAATATCTGCAGTAAAAGTCTTGATAAACTGTCTAAGACCAGAACATCTGATATAATTTTTAAGTAATTCAGGGCCGGACACGGAACTCTTAAACAAACTTTTTGCCTCGTAACTCTGCCATTAATGAATTTAACAAAAACCAAAGCTCTCAACAAAAAACATCAACAGTACAAATAACTCCTCAAACAATGGTATCCCAACAAATGGCATCCCTATATCCTTCATGAGCTAGAAATGCGTACATAGGTATACCAATGGCCAGTCCAACATTCCTATGTTTAATCTGTCTACACCCGTCAGCATGACAGTTTGAAAACATAATTCCTGAACCAATAACATCCCCTGTTACAATTAACTTTAGCCAAAAATGTCAATTGTGTCCTCAAGCAATGATATCCTTCCTAACAAATCTTAATCCAATGACATTAATTTTAACAACAACTCATCACCCAATCATATCGCCCCTTACAATACAACTTCAAGCAATGATGTCCACTGTAATAAAAATTCATCACCATCATCAACTTTTTCCTATTCATCTGCATTCACCATTTTCATATCTTGTACACACAAATAATACAAAAAAGCTTAACATTACATGCTATAACAAAACAAAGCGAAATAAATCCCTGAGAAATTAATGTGGAACTACGTCTACAAAAAGTTACCAACAAAACAAATATTACGGTATGATTTTGTGGCAAATAAACAGGTGAAAAGAGTGTTATCATATCATAGGTGCTTTTCAATGAATAAGAAAAAAAAAACAAAAATGAAGCATTTCTCATCAGACAGAAAAAAATATTTTTTAATAAACCAACAAACAAAAAATTATATTTTTTCTCATTCTGTAAGGATATGTGTGAGAAATCTACTTTTTTTATTCACATGCATCCAAACAAGGGTTTGTGCTTCAAATGTATATAATTTTTCAAAAGGGCCACAACTCTTGGTTAAAAAGGGCCACATATCACGGACACAATAGTGGGAAACAAAGCAGGTCTCTCATATTTCCAAATCTCTCAAACATGTTAGAATTAAAAAATAAACAGTAATCTGACAACTTGACTATATGAAGGGCCATCACTTTTTGGGATATATATAAAAAAATCTAATTTTTCAATTTTTAAATTTTCAGCTGAAAATTCAATTCTAAAAACAACTTTGTCCTCTTTAGAAATAATAAACAAAAATATGCTAAAATCAAAATCTTGCAGCCTGAGAAAGGAAACTTAACCATATTAACAGTGTTAAAAAAAGAGTGCCATAACTTACTAAAAATAGAACTTTACAACTTACTAAAAATAGAACTTTCATAATTTTCTAAAAATAGAACTTCATATTGCACACTATGCCAACAATAAACATATATGTCAACAGAATAATAATTAACACAGAAATCCATTCTTACACAGCATAATTAAAGGTATCCCAGATTAAAAAAAATCAAAAAAAATCAAGTTTTCAAACAGAAAATGGAAGATTACTTTAAGTCACAATTTTACATCCTTGGTGTGTACTGATTCAAGTGTAATCCACAGTTCAAAATAATACAATTAAGTTGGTTATTAATCCAAAACTGAGATATATAATCGAGAAAATAAAATAAATAAAATGAGCATTAAAGTTTGAAAGTTGAGAAAAATTTGAGCAATCATCTACACTTAAACACAGTATATAAGAAACAAGAAACATGGCAATACCCGGAAAACAGGTTTTCAAACCAGTAACCATTTTTTTATTTTTAGTAACAGTGACTTGACCTTATCTCTAGGACACCCAAAAGCAATCCCAAGCAAGTTCTTCTCATAAGCATGCTATATGCCAAGTTTGATTATAATAACTTGTTCCAAACTCTAATTCTTGACTGGAAACCACCTGTTCGACGCCAATTTGATTGCCTGCACACACCCAGCCCTTGATTTGAAAACTTGGATAACAAGAGTTGAAGCAAAGATGTGATTTGTCCAGTTTCAGTTAAAAATATTTTTGTGTTATTAATAATTCTTATTTGCATAATCAGAATTGTGTTGGTTTGATATCAATGATGAAGTAGTATGTAAAGTAAATATACTACAGAACATAGAAAGTACACTTGAGAACATAATAAAAATAATACACTCGGGAACATAATGGAAACAAATATAGGAAGATTTTTCATTCATAAAAAAGAATATCATAAATAATAATTTTTCACAACTACAGGCTTAAAAAATAATAAAAACTATTCTAATGCTAATAAAGTTGTCCTAGATATGTTTACATTTTACTTTCCACCAATCAGGTGGGTTTTTATTTTGTCAATCGGTCATTTTTATGCAAATGATCTTTATTGGTCATATACAAATGAATAAACCATTTTTTTCATGTACAATTATATTATTTGTAGTACTTATTCTCAAGAAATCAATATCTGCATGAACTGGAAATCCTTTAATAAAGTCACTCTTAAATGTTTTCAATGAAACTGATCAGAAAACATAGAAAATCGTCAACAATAGACTAAACTTTCAACACGAAAGCAACATTTTCCAGGTTCACTTCATTCATATTAAAGAAATAGAAGTTTTAACATTACTTCCTAGTCCTTTTTTCCAAGTTAACATATTTTTCCAGATAATCTACATGTATATATGTAAGGCTAACATCTATTATTAGCACAACTCAATTTAGGACATACCAATATCAACCCATATCATAATCCTTTTCACAGGGAAAAATATCCATTTAAAATGTTGAACCTTGACATAAAACCTATCTGAAAGAAACATTCTCTCTTTTTCACAACGCAAAAGCCACTATGAAGAAAACATTTATTCCAATATCTAAGACTTATTAACTTGTCAGAAAAGAAAAACTTCCAAAGAAAAATCCACAACAAAATTTTTGTTTCAATGACATAGCAAACTTGGAACTAATTTTCCATAACACATAAATTCTCTCTTGTTGGTCCATATTTCAAATACTGTAACTTTTTTCCATCATTTTCTGTCTATCTATTATTGTTCACCATGAAATATTTTATTTGAAGAACTTTTCCAGGATATCTCTGTAAGATTGAGCTTTAATCATGTCAGTAGATGCACGAGCCCGTCTGTACCGTACCGGACAATCCAAAGTTGTGCACGCAGTTATAGTCGACAAGTCTGAAGTTCCCACACAAGTTCCACAGATCTGTAAGTAAAATCAGATAATAATCATTAACAACTGAATGGTAAAAGGTCTGAAATAATGGATAAAATGTGTCCAGAATGCAACACAAGCATTCCAGATAAATGGTAAAAGTATGAATATATATGAATATAAATATATATGAATATATTCTTTCTAAAACTCTTAACATACTGAATTTCATAAAAGGACATGCCCAATTTCCATCTATTCATTCTATCATTGTTTGGGGCCATCAAGATGAAAATTTAAATTCAACCAACCAACCAACAGTATAGGGCCTGGTCAGACTACACAAATGTGTACTATTTGCATAAGTTTGTTACAAACACTGCAAGCATTAAACAACGAATAATAACTTAGATAGCTCTGACCTGTTGTAAATGATGGTGAACTCTCTCCCAGCGTGTGATCCTGTCATTAAGGGTCATACAAACAAGCTGAGGGTCCTTCATACAACTCTCACATACTGACTTCTTTGTCTGTCGCTCACACGTAGGACAATTAGATGTCACAAAATACTGTGATATAGTTCCCTGTCAAATATACATAGTAAAACAATTGAGCAAAGATAATTTTTTATGATAATCAGTAAGATTTTATTTGAGATATATAATAGAATTTTAAGTTCCATTAATCTTTGTCCGTTTATTTTAAAGTCTAGATTAATTAATCCTTTTCATGCTAAATAAAATTTCAAATAAGTGCTGATTGAATTGCAAACAGTGCAGTCCATAACAAGACAGCACAGATGTTCTGCCTGATCTTGGTCTGCACTGGTGGCATGGATTGATTCTTCTGCGGACAACATACATGTACAAGAGGTTTAAGAACCCTGCATACAATACCAAAATGTTCTTACAATTAAGCTTCTGCAGACAAATCTAAACTGTTTGTTTCTTTGTTTGATTGGGTTTTATGTCACATCGACACAGTATAGGTCATATGGCATCGTTCCAGCTTTACTGGTGGAGGAAGACCTCAGGTGCCCTTCTGTGCATTATTTCAGGTACAAATGGGCACCTGAGTAGAACCACTGACGTCCCATAAGCTACCTGGATAGCTTCCTCACGTGAAAGAATCCAAAGTCCCTGTGGAGATTTGAACTCACATTGGTGAGGGGCCAACGAGCTTAACCACTTGGCCACGGACAGCTAAATTGTATTTATGTCACTACATGTATGTCTGTTATCAGAACAAAGCAAACTTTTTATATATGTATAATCTCACAAATTTAATAACAATACTAAATCCTTTAAAGGTTCTATTTCCTTGAGATGAGCCCAACTATATGGGTCCCAGTCTCTTTGGATTTGTCACAGTCTACAAGACACGTCTGTACAAGTCTATGTGTACTTTGAGATCAGTGAAACAAATATCATCCCATTACCTTTTTAGCTTGTTCAGACCCTGCCATGTGAGAAACAACTCTTCCTGCTGAATGGGGCATCTCTTGATACCTTTGTAAAATTATAAAAAACAATTCTTTTATAATTTGCCAATTTCATTGCTTATTATACAAGAATGTATGTTGTATATTAACAGCTTGCAAAAGCATTATAGAAGTACAAAACCCTTAATCCTATTTTCGTTCTGCATTGTGTTATCATTGTCTTGATTTAAATTTGGAATTGTCCACTCCAAGCATAGGCAAAGTAAAGATAAAGATCATGAAATTTTCGTGCAATGGCCTCAACCAAATTTTCTCTCTGATGATGGTTTATCAGCAACTCTGTATTACAGTCAAGCTCCCAGTGTCCACCGGGACAATATCACAATCAAATATCATGTACAAAACTTCCGTATGTTATAGTTCTGAGACACTATCAATACACAATAATCTTCCAAAGCTGCTGTAAACAAATTTTTCATTGACAATAATACTGAAAACAGATACATACCATGAAAACACATTAGCTCCCATGAGTGACAGGAACCTATCTAAGGGAGGTAATATCTGTTTTGTTATATAGTAGGTAGAGTTCAGACGGAGTGATGGATCCTGTAGTACCTCGGATGGAGTTCTTACAAGTTGAATGAGAGGCAGACCTGGACTGCCGTACACGATCACATACGGGACTCTCTCACCAACACGAGGCTCTGAACGACGATCCTGACGTATATTCTTCCTGTATAACAAATAAACAAAATATCTTTAAAAGTCAGAAACAAACTTTGTTTACTTTTAGGGTTGTATGGTTAATATCTGGCGTTAAACTTACAGAGGAATATCCCAAAAGCTTCCAAGTGCATTATAACACGTTTAAATGGAAAACTAGTTAAAAACAAGAACCTTAAGCTACCTAGCTTCTTTACATAAAATATATTCAGTCCTTGTGTGAAAAAACAACAGTGAGTGGCAAGTACCATCACAATGCAAACATTGACAGCTAAAGAGTCAAAGAACAACATAACACCAGATAGGTAAAGTTTGATTTTACAACTTACTTGGCAATCTCGAGTGCTGGCACACAGGCTCCAGGTTTATACCCTGGCATGCCTCGGTATTCCTTGGCAAACACAAAGTCCTGTAGACTGACAGAGCCCTCCATGACTTTCTGACACTGTTGTTGAATATACGACTTCACCTGAGACACATCCTTTGTTGTAAATAGTACCTTCAGAGATCTCTCTAAAACCTATAAACAAATCATTACCTTATTATAACAGCATACATTGAGATTAGTTTAAACATATTTAGAATGCTTTAAGAAACAATTTCTTGGAACTTATATTTATCACATTCCAGTAACCCAAGTAAGGCTCCAACCCATGATTCCTGGGATGAGAGGTAGACACCTTAACCACTAGGTCACCTCCCACTAAATTGAGATTGCATTGCAGTATTGGTTTAAACATATTTATTTAAGCTCAATTTGCGAAACAAGTTCTTGCAACTTATATTAATTACTTTCGAGTAAGCTTCCTGAAACCAACCAGTACTGGTGTCATATGAAGAAACATGGTTGTGACTAGATTAGGGCTTAAACCAACAAGAGCCACCGCCGGGTGGGGGCAACGCTCGACTTTTTACTTTCTCTAAAAGTAAACAAAGAAATGTTTGAACAAAATCCTTTTCATAAAATTAATCGGTCTGTCTTGTCACATTAGTTTTGTCTATATATTTTAAATAGAAACACGCAATTCTATAAATAGAAAATTCTATAAATAGATACATGTGGTGGAGTCACGTGGTGACACGTGGTGGTGTCACGTGGTGGACACATGGTGTCACGTGGTGGTGTCATGTGGTGGTGTCACATGGTGGTGTCACATGGTGGACTCACATGGTGGAGTCACATGGTGGTGTCACGTGGTGGTGTCACGTGGTGGTGTCACGTGGTGGAGTCACATGGTGAAGTCACGTGATGGTGTCACGTGGTGAAGTCACGTGGTGGTGTCATGTTGTGGAGTCACGTGGTGGAGTCACGTGGTGGAGTCACATGGTTAAGTCACATGTGAAGTCACATGGTGAAGTCACGTGGTAGAGTCAGAGTCATGTGGCAGAGTCACGTGGTGAAGTCACGTGGTAGAGTCACGTGGTGAAGTCACGTGGTAGAGTCACGTGGTTAAGTCATGTGGTGAAGTCACATGGTGAAGTCACGTAGTAGAGTCAGAGTCATGTGGTAGAGTCATGTGGTGAAGTCACGTGGTAGAGTCACATGGTAGTCACGTGGTGAAGTCACGTGGTAGAGTCATGTGGTGGAGTCATGTGGTGGTGTCACGTGGTGGTGTCACGTGATGGAGTCATGTGGTGGAGTCACGTGGTGGTGTCATGTGGCGAAGTCATGTGGTGAAGTCACGTGGTGGTGTCAAGAGCCCAAGTGTTTGATAAACAACAAGGTCTTGTTCTGTTATAATATGAAGTTGATCCCTTCAATAATAGCAAAGTTAAGCCAGTTACAGCCAAAACAATGAAAATTTCAATAATTTGAACTTCAAAGTCAAGGTCATTAATGAGTGAAGGTCAAGGTCTGTCTGCTTATTTTTAAGGGTTATTCTGAAGATTATTATGTTCAAGTTTGAAGACAATCCATTCAAAAATAACAAAGTTACAGCCAATAATAGCCAAAAAAATGAAAATTTCAATAATTTGACCTTCAAAGTCAAGGTCATTTATGAGTGAAGGTCATGGTCTGTCTGGTTATTTTTAAGGGATATCCTTGAAGATTATCATGTTCAAGTTTGAAGACAATCCATTCAAAAATAACAAAGTTACAGCCAATCACAGCATGAACAAGCAAAATTTGGACTTTTAACCTTGAAGGTCAAGGTCATTTATGGATGAAGGTCAAGGTTAGTGTGGTCTACTGAAAGGTCTTGTCCCAAGGGTTGTTGTGGCCAAGTATCAAAAAAAAAAAATTCGAGCTAATGATCCCTGGGTTAAGAAAAAGACATGTTTACCACTATGTGCCCCTCCCCTTATTGCATTGAAGAACTTTTACCTAATTTTACCTCATTTTACCTAATTACTGTTCCTTCATTTTCAGTATGGGAAAAAAAAACTGGAAAAGGAACACACCTAAATGGGTTTGCAAGTCAGATGAATACATTCTTCTCATAGTTATGTCTTAGCAGTTGAAATACTGAGTGAATTAAACTATCTAAGGTCTTGAAATAAAGTGTTCACAACTGCATATAAAACATCAGAATTTATAGTTTCTAATTTCTATTCTCCAGCAAAGTACTGTCTGAAAAGAAACATTGAAGATCTGCATATGAATAAAAATCAAACCTTGGATACAGCAGAACAAGTGTCTCTACGCACTGTCTCGATCCCCTTGGCATCATATACAGGTTCTTTCTGATCTGGTGTCTCGTACATGAAACCAACATATCTCTTCTTTGTTTGTAACACACATGGTAAATACACCTGGAAGTATATGGGGAAAAAATTGAAAATTTGTCTTTTTGTTACTTTGAAACAAAAATATTTAAAGGTAGGACGGAATGCAATAAAGTTCCTATAATTGAAAATTAAGAACTTCTGAATGTTAATACATTAAAATATTGTGCTTTTCAAAAGCAAGAATTATAGAAATGGGTGGATGTAAAACAGAGACAATTTATGATATAACAAGAGCTGTTGGTAGGACAGCAACACTCGACTATTCTTAGTGCTTGATAGTAAAAGAGCCTTGATAATGTAAAATTTTCTGAGTGAATAACAAAAGGATAAAAATTTTCTTTAAATCCATGTTACAGTTATAGGCCTTGGAAAGAGTCCAAGAAGAGTATAAAATTTCAACTTGTTTCAATAGAATATGAAAATATCTGAGGTGGAATGCAAACCTAAATGTAAATTCTAAGTTGAAAAAGAGGCATAATTCTGTCAAAATTCTAGATACAATTAACTCCTCCTGTCTACAGGTTGGGGTCATGATGGTGAACAAGTGTGCAAAGTTTCAAAGCCATTTGTCAATGGACTTTTAAAATATTTGAGGTATTACAAAAACTTTAACGTAAATTCTAAGTCGAAAAAGTGGAATAATTCTGTCAAAATGCTTGATACAGTTACCTCCTCCTGTCTACAGGTTGGGGTCATGATGGTGAACAAGTGTGCAAAGTTTCAAAGCCATTTGTCAATGGACCTTGAAAATATTTGAGGTATTACAAAAACTTTAACGTAAATTCTAAGTCGAAAAAGCGGAATAATTCTGTCAAAATGCTTGATACAGTTACCTCCTCCTGTCTACAGGTTGGGGTCATGATGGTGAACAAGTGTGCAAAGTTTCAAAGCCCTATGTCAATGGACTTTGAAAATATTTGAGGTATTACAAAAACTTTAACATAAGTGGTTATGCCGACACCGACGCCGACCCTCGGGTGACTACAATAGCTCTACTTATTCTTATCAAATAGTCGAGCTAAAAATAAATTACATGTATTATCAAAATAGATAACAGTCTTATAGGACTGTGTAGCAAATATTTTTAGCAAACTTCTAAACTTTGTTGAACAAACAGAATTATTGAATATTGAAAAACATGAAAAGACAAAGTATAATCTTTGACAAAAAAACCCAACAAATTACCACCTGTTTTAATAAACAAATAAAATCCATAGGGTTTGCATTAATGAGAGCTGTTGAAAAAGAGGCAAATGTGCTTCTCCCCACAAAAATGGTCTCATGGAATCAAGCTCTACTCTGGTCTTAGTCATATTTACTCACATGACAACAATACTTTTAAGACATGAACAACTGTATTTTATAGAAGTTTCAAAATGTTGTCTCGTAATCAAGCAGGGCATCTGTGTAGAACCACCAACTTTCCATAGGCTACCTGGATAGCTTCCTCTAATCAAGGAATCCAAATTTCCTTTGAATCTGAACCAACAGCTGTGACAGGAAAATGGTTCAATTCAACAATTATAACCACTGAACTACAAAGACCCTACCAGAGGTATCATTTTTAACTAAATATATGAAATATAGCTTCACAATTATTACATTATTATACAATTGTAATCTCCTCACCTTTTCAAACTTAAGTTTGATAGGTTTAGGGAACATGGCTGTCACAGATTTTGCGATGTCCTGCCCGATCTTAAAAGCTTCATCTTTACTGCGACCTTTAAGCTCGATGAACATACTGTAATTTTGAAAAAATAATTCATAATTAAAATGATAAACAAGTACTTGTACATCAAAGTTAGAACATACTCAAGTAAACTCTACAAATTGGTTTGCAGTAAATCCTAACCACATTGGTAAAATATCTATGTGAATTTAAATTTTAACCAAGGAAGAAAAATATAACAATTTGTTTTTTAAATCCTTACCACTTTAGTAAAATATCTAAGGGAACTGAGTTTTTAACCTAGGAAGACAAACATGTATAATAATACTAGAAATGTCAATTTTTCAACCATATATGAGTATGAATTATATTATTATATATGAGTGTATTGACAAATTCTATTAAATAAGACTAGTGTATTGTCAACTTAAAATGAAAATAATAGTGATGTAACATTTGTTTTTGATGACATCAGGAGAAAAACACCAGACAGAGTTAACATACCTGTCTGTATCACCGTAAACCACCCTTGCTCCCCATTTAGGTGTATCCTCTATCAACTTTATAGATCGTTCAAGAGTCTCCCTGGCCTTCCTTACTATACTATCAGCAACCTGTAATATACATGCACCAGTTACAAGTTATATAGCAGGTAAACATTGTTGGTATGTCACAAATTTACATAGAACATACTACAGCAGAATTGTTTATTGATAAAATTTACCAAATACATTTGTCTCTCAATAAGTCGAAATCGCTTTACTCAAAATTCCACGTTAGTCAATAAACTTCTAAAGTCCCGTCAAATGTCCTTCTTTATCTTTGTATTTTAACTCCGCATAGGTCAAATTTTGACTTACCGAGACTCCTGTTTAGTCGAAAAGAAAATTTGGTCCCGTCAATTAAAGTCCAACATATTTTCATCTCAATTAGTCTAAGTGTGAAAACAGCCGACTGATCAAAGGTCGGAGACATAAAGGTGAGATGTTGTCACTCGTGATTCACACGTTTCATAGTAATTTTAACTGCCGGCCATCATGTATTATTAACACGTCGTAAAAGTGGATTTAATCGGTTCCAAGACTGAATTGGTTTTAACAGTTAGATAACTAAATTAAGATTTAATTAATTTAATTGTAATTAAGTTTACTAGCAGAATAGTCTTACACATTTCTTTAAGAAAGTTGACTCGTGCCAGTCTGACAGGTGTTAGTAAAAAAATATCAAGGTAAATGACATTTGTATAATTAATGTTCAGTCATATTGCATACATTAATATGTACTTCCGGTTGACGATAGTTGCTACTTTCGTTTTCGTCCGATGATCAATTCACTTCAAATATTAGATAAATTGTTGTTGAAATAAATGTGTTATTGTGTTTTATGGAAATGTGTTATTGTGTTTTATGGAAATGAATTGTTGTGAGTGCATTGCCGCTGTCAACGATCACAAACCTACTTCTTTGCACATTCAGTCAGGCACATGTATATACATGTACGAATGTCAACGTAATGGCGGCAGATTCACGTTACTCGAATTCCATTTCTCTCGAAGTAAAATGCCCAGTCTCTTGGATTTTGAGTTACCGAGAGTCAACTGTACATTTCAAAAAAATAATGATCACTTATGCATTAAACTAGGTGAAAAACAAACAAACTGGCAAACAAATTATCAGACAAAAAAGCCAGAATGATTTCAAAAAGCCAGAATTCAAAAAGCCAGAATGATTTCAAAAAGCCAGAATGATTTCAAAAAGCCAGAATAATTGAGCCCAATTTACATCTTTATCCAGCATACTGTTGTTTTGTGGGATTTAAAGTTATGTAACCACTGTTAAGGTAATATGGTAACTTTCCAGCTTTAATGGTGGAGGGAGATCTCATGGTCCCCTTCGTGCATTATTTCAGGCACCAGGAAGCACCCTGAGTAGAACCATCGACCTTCCATTAAGCATATTTAACACTATGATAGACATAAATGATAAAATCATTATTAAAAGATTCAGTTTTTACCTCAATACATGGCATCCTACCAGAAAAGTTTGCTCCAGTATAACCATATGTCACATTCGCGATTAACTTCAAACCCAGCTGTCTGGCATTCAACATCCTACTCAATGTCTGCAAAAAATCAAAATTTTTTAAAACATTAAATTATACCTATAAACAAACAACACTGTCAAAATAATCAAAATGTGTGCCAATTCAGTCTTGTATATTTTAAGACAATGTACTGCATGCTTGGGGAAATACTCGTTTCTAAATCCATGTAAGATACAGTGCTTTATAATCTATAAATATGGGAGCATACATGTAAAAAGTCTGATTAAAACAAAGTAAAGAGTTACCTTATCATCTTTATAACTAGACATGGCTTTTTTCACCATCAGTCGAGTCTTAAGTATCTCTTCAACCATGCTGTAATAAAGAGACAAGTTAAACCATCATCAATGAAAATTTCATATTCTTATAGGTTTTAAATGGACATAATTATTCTAAGTCTAAGCTTGATGGCAGGTAACAGATTTTACCCATAATACCACAGCAGACCAAGATTAGCCGGTAAATCCATATTGTGTAATCATGGTCTGTACTGTTCATTATTTAGCCAGTATTTATTTTGAAAATTTCCTTGAACATGAAGGTTTTGTCCAGAATGAAAGATGGATAAATCAATTTAAGATATTAAGCAAACTGTTACTGCCATTAGCACTTTCATTATTAAAACCACCATATTTCTTTTACAATAAACAATGTGTTACACAAGAAGCCATGATAATAATTGTACACTCTATTTTATCTTAATGGATAAAAAGATATTCTTTCACAAACAAGAGCTGTCGGTAGGACAGCAACGCTCGACTATTCTTAGTGCTTGATAGTAAAAAAAATGCTTGATACAGTTACCTCCTCCTGTTTACAGGTTGGGGTCATGATGGTGAACAAGTGTGCAAAGTTTCAAAGCCATATGTCAATGGACTTTGAAAATATTTGAACTATTACAAAAACTTTAACGTAAATTCTAAGTCGAAAAAGGGGCATAATTCTGTCAAAATGCTTGATAGAGTTACCTCCTCCTGTTTACAGGTTGGGGTCATGATGTTGAACAAGTGTGCAAAGTTTCAAAGCCATATGTCAATGGACTTTGAAAATATTTGAACTATTACAAAAACTTTAACGTAAATTCTAAGTCGAAAAAGGGGCATAATTCTGTCAAAATGCTTGATAGAGTTACCTCCTCTTGTCTACAGGTTGGGGTCATGATGGTGAACAAGTGTGCAAAGTTTCAAAGCCATATGTCAATGGACTTTGAAAATATTTGAACTATTACAAAAACTTTAACATAAGTGGTTACGCCGACGCCGACGCTCGGGTGACTGCAATAGCTCTACTTATTCTTATCGAATAGTCGAGCTAAAAAGTGAATTGCTAATATAAGGGGCAAAACTTACATAGGTAGAACTCCTCTTTTAACCGACTGTTTACAGAACACAACTCCATTAGGGGATATTGACACTTTATCTGACAGTTTCTGAAAGAAGGAATTTATATCATATATTGCAGGTTTCAACATGTAATCAAGTGCACAAATGTTATAAATTTTTTATTACATGTGACAACACAGTGGTGAAGATGCCAACTAGGTGTTAAATGTTGGGAGTTTTTGCCAACTTGGTGTAGAATGTTTTGTTTTTTTCAGTTTCACTATACTAAGACTATGGAGAGACTCCCACCTTGGTGTCACAATTTTGTTAAGTTTTTGCATGTCAAAATCTACTGAAGGAAATGTGCTGAAAATTCACAAACATGTTCTCTGTGATTATCTTACTAGATGGGCACATGTCCCGTAACTCTGAGTTACCTTTTCACTGAGTTATGCTTCTTTTCTTACTTTCAAGCACTGAGAATAGATAAGCGAGTTATCTTTTCTTTTTTTAAGCAGGTTAAGACTTGACAATGCTGGTTAGAGTAGTAAGAAGTTTTACCTTTATTACTGATGGATCCAGACCAAGTGATGTACATCCAAACTCAATTGGCCCTTCACTAAAATATAACAATTTTCTCTTACAAACGCATAAATTGTTAAATATGCACTAAAATCATTGTAGCAAAAATTTTCATTGCAACAGTTGTCACATAATTGTCTAAGTTTTTGTTTGATTGTTTGCTTGTTTGGTTTTATTTTGTAATTAACATTTGATAACCCATATTAATAATTATACATACATGCAAAAAGCATTTTAAGTTTAATATTCATGCAAAAAGCATTTCCTGTTTTCTAGAGTACCAAAACAACAGTTTTGATTTATTATACAATTTAATCTTATCAGAAATAGAACAGCTTCTCATTAAATATAAATTTATTGTTGAGTTATTTCAACATTAAAGGGACTCCACTGAGGTTTAAAAGCCTAAAAACATAACATTTGAATTCTTACATAAATGAGCTGGGGCACTTTAAACAGAAATATATGCAAAAATAGTTAAGAAATATACCTTGAAATAAATTGCAAATCGTATTTCTATGCTTTTCTTTGCCCAATTTTAGTGAAAAGCGTATTTTTTTACAATTTGAATCTGGAAAAATGAAGTGCGCGAATGATCTGAAATTTTGCACAAAGATTAGTGGTCTAAACCTACATCAAATGGTACATTTATCTGGAAAAAAATATTTTCAATCCCATCATGTCAAAAAACCTCAGTGGAGTCCCTTTAATATCTAGCTCACAATTTTCTTCAGTGGCTATACCACAAAACTTTGCAAGATATGAAATACATTGTTATGGTTTAAATAATATTGACAACTTACTGAGCATTCTTGAACCACTCAACTCTACCAAGACACGTGGAGAAACAGTAGTTGTAGGCTATCATTATAGATGGGTACAAGGACTGGAAGTCAACAACCACTACTGGGTCCGTGTAGAACTTAGACTCTGGTTCCAGGGTGAGCGGTATGCACTCTGGTGCCTTTGATCGAGCTCTCTGGTGTACACTGGGAGACACGGGAATGTAGTTCATGGGCTTGGCAACACGTAACATCATGGATTCAACTCGATACTAAAATTGATGATTTTGGTATTCATTATACATGTACAACAAATTTGCATTTCAATACAGAATAATAATTCACGTGCTAAATTTATAAACCAACTGGCTGGTTAAACTTTGCATTTGAAACTGTCTATTGTAAATGTGAAAAGATATACAAAATTTACTTTACTTTAATTGTATAGGAAGCTATTAGCTTATAAACACCCACTTGAATCTTTTCCTGGAACCAACCAGTATTTTACAATGAGTGTAAAGTTTCTTGCGCAAGGAAACAGCGACTTGCCCCTGACAGCGTTTGTACCCATGCGGCAAATCTTAGATTACTAGTCTGACAAGTTAGTGGAATTTGCATGACATAATCTGATTCAAAGGTTTAATTACTTATTTGGTTGAAAGTAAAACATACACTGTTAAGGTCACATGGCAATATTCTAGCTTTACTGACAGTGTAAGACACCAGGTGACTAAGCATTTTTAAGACATAAGTGGACACTGGAGTTGACTTTCCATAAGTCAGCTGTGTAGCTTCATCATATGCAACAATTTGAAGCCTCCAGGGAGATTCAAAACACAGTGCTAATGTGACAAATTATTAAATATATCAAAATATACACATTTCAAGCTTTACTGAATTTGCGACCTGTCTCAGCAAATAGTGACAATACCCACCTGAGACCCTCTGGAGAGTACATCATAGAATTCAATACCGAACACGCGAGCAAATTCGCTAGTGCGTCCGACCATGTCAAGTTGATCCATTATCTCAATGTTAGCTTTAGCTCTCGTACCATAGTGTTCAACCACCTTCCATCTATATAATAAATAATAAATCTATATCATATCACTTAAAATATTAAAACTATTGAATATAAATGGCAAAGCAAGGCTAAAACTGATGAGAGAAAACCATTGTAAAATATTCCTAATAGAAAAAAACGTTGTAAAATATTCCTAAAATTTCGAACAAAACATGCAAACATTTCAGTTGTACCTTTTAATAAAAACTTTTTTTTCATTTAAAATATATAATTGCTCTTTGACAATTGGTTTGAAGGTGGGTTTAAGCATAGGTTGGACGATTAGTATTTAATATGGTTGGAATATAAATATATAATATCACATAGTCTCAATTATTATATAGGAAAATTCATACTTTAAGATTATCCTTTCCCCTCCAGAATTTATGTGATGGACTTGTCCTTTTTTTTAAATTTGTAACCGTTGCAAATTTAGACAAAATATCAACATGACAAATTAGGAGAACTGAACAACCAACAGTATAGAAGAGTCTGATTTGACAGCACAAATGTGCACACTGGCCTGACTCTATATTGATGGCAGATACTGGTCATTACCAATGCTAGGAAACCATGGTTTGAATTACTGTAATACCTGTGAAGATGGGTGCGATGTTTGAACCAAGCTGTTAGATTCCGGAACGAGAACAATGGTATACGCTTATGAAGCACGTGATAGGCAATATTCTCAAAACTGTACACATTCAGTGTCACCTATAAGGAATGAAAATGTATAAATATGTAATTTTATCCTCTAAACCTTTTATCTCTCTTTTCAACTCAATGGATAAAAAACATGCCTTTATGTTTTACAATAAGTTCATTCAAGAAATATCAAATACTTTGAGTCTGAGGGGATTCTTGTAAAACTTTATTATTATTTTACTTGGACCAATGAACTTGGAAACAAGATTTTTTGTTATGCTGTGATAAAAATATATTTTGGTCCATGGATTACCTGCAAACTGAAAGATTTTTAAGAAAATCTGACAGGAAAACATAGAAATTGATAAAACTTGCATAACTTTCAGTTGTATCAATTTTAAAATATTGATATAAATTTTTTAGGTTTAAAAAAAATTAATTGCTTTTACAAAGCCAAACCACAACTAAATGAGTAAGTAATTACAAATCAGTGACCAAAACACATCACATAAGTTTGAGGATTATCTTCATTTACTAACCTCATGTCTGAGCAGTCTCCACAAGTTAAGAACTATACGGCCAGAAATATGTATCTCTGAAGCATAATCAGCCCCAAATTGGTCCTGCTCCTTCGAGTGGTGACTTGCTGTCTTGTCCGATGGCACCCTAGATATGGCCTGGGTAAGATTTATACTCAGTTGGGAGGCTCGCTGCAGTATATAACCCCATGACAACATCTGAATCTCGTAACCAACAAGTATGTCTGGATTCCACCTGCAAAAAAACCAAATATCATATCTAAAAGAAATATCTTATATTTCAATAAACCCTATTTTCCCATAGAAAGAATAGAACCTTCTTATTTACATACCCTCAAATCAGCTTCTTGGTATAACCAGAGTACAAGGTTGTAAAGATTTTTTCTAAGCTGAAACTCAGATCTCAGGTATAATCAGCACATAATGTATATTGACCAATGAAATTCCTGAGATTCCAGACAGAGCTCAGAAAAAAAGATTTGTAACTTTGAGACCAGATCTGTTGTCTTTAGTGCATACATGTTCATGTCCTGAAGTGCTAAAACTTACTATATCCTGTATGAATTGTAAAAAATATTTAACACTAAACAGAATTTACCACTATTTTGATTTTTACAAATCAATTACTGAAAATCTTTTCTAATAGATAAATCATTCATATGCCAATGTTTAACAAATGGAGACTTAAATGATATTTTTTGCTTGGCATAATAAAGCTTCAATTTTCTTACTTAAATGAATGAGTGATATCATTAATTTTAAGACAAAATTTCACAATAAAAGTATATTTTCAAGACCTAACACTCTTTCATTATCAAAATTTAAAAACTAGAAAAGAAAAATAAATTCAAATACCTATGTACAAAGCCAATGAAATTTTGCAGAAGTTCATTTTCATCTTTCACATAGGTTACAGTTAAACCCAGAACACCAGACTTCTCCAACAATGTATTCTTTCTATTGATCTGTGAGCCTACAGCAATGTCCTTTGAAGTTGATGCAATGACTTCCGACCTTCTGACCTTTGGTGTGTCAGGTGCTTTAGATGGTCCAGGCTGAGGACTACCTGGTCTTATACTAGACACCTTCTGATTGGTTGATAGTTTGTCATCTGCAATTTCATTGGCTGAGGCCGGGTCCACAATGAAAACACCAGATTCATTTCTGGTTCCCTTCTCAGGATGCACATCATTGAATATTGAATAAAATATTGCCTTAATGTCATCAACTTCTGGGTCCGGCTTCAAATCTCCCCTGGATTCTGCATGAATTTCCACACTGAGCACGGTTAAATTCTGATACTGAAAGCAAAATATACAAGTTTTCAGCATTTTGAATTTTTGCTTGTTCTGTAAAAAGTATAATAACACACTTTTAAAGATAATATAGGACACGTAACACTAATGATACCAACTCAAATATACATGCTGACAAGGTTTGATACAAAAAACGTATCAGAAAATCAGCATTAAATTGGTTCATTATGACTATTGATTTGATCTTTTTCAAAATTTTCACTTTAACTTTGTTCAATGGAGTTGTCCTACTAGTTTGGAATGGTCAAAAGTTGATTTTATTAATTTTTTTAACTGTTAGAGGTGACTATAGCCAAATGAAAAGACATGCAGTGCCTTGCTCTATTCTTATGGCATAAAACTGTAATTGTCACATAATTATGGCAGTGATGAAATGGCATGAAAATATAAATTAATGACAGTATACCTCATGTAAGGCCTTGGCATCTTGCAGATTCTGTTGACTATGCTTAAATCCAAATGAGTTCTTCAATGACGGTCCTTCAATCTGAGATGTATCTCTCCTATGTAAGGATGGTGTACCAAACTGTTGCTACAAATAAATAAATTAAATTCATATTAAGATGAAGTAATAATATCCCAAGCTTGACACAAATCATATTCTCTTAAAGCAATATAGATATTTCACATGTTAGAACTAATAATTTATTGAAAATCCCAGCTTACTGTAAGTACTTAGTTGCAGATCTGCCAAAAGAATAACATCCTAACGAGAACATGGCTACAGTGATCTACATTATACTGAATTAAAATGTTTAGTCCAAATAATTCTTGATAAATTTAAAAGTTTATAAATTTGGCTGTAAGAAAAATTTCATTTTAATGTTGTTTTATGTAAGTTTAAAACCAATGTGACTTACTCTAACTTGTGAAGACAGAATAGCTTTCCTGAGAGTGGAGTCTGTTTGTGTTGATAATCTTCTTATTGGTCGTATCCGCTTCGGTGTCATAAAGTCTGAACCTTCATCACCCTGGCTGTTACGATTTCTCTTCTCACCAGTGATTGGTGTACATTCCGGTTCAAACAAGTCGGTAGATCCTCTACGCAGTACCGGTGTACTGTGTAACAAAGTAGATTCAATATCCTGGGACTGGCTTTGACCTGGGCTTTCAATTAGGTCTTCAATTTCTGCAGATGGACTTTTTATATCAAGGTTTTCAAAGGTGGTTTCAGACTTTGTGACTTTTTCTTCTTGGTCCTTTGCATTTCTTTTTGGAGTGACTTTAGTAAATTTGCTCTCTGTTGATTCTATATTTTCTGATACATTTACTTTTTCAGTTTCACTTGCAAGCTTTTTACTGTTTTCAGCAACTTCTCTGTTTTCCTTCGAGTTGCCTTTCTTTCCTTTTGCTTCCTCTTGTAAAGAAGCTTTCTTTTTTAAGTTTTTATATACTTTTTTTCCTTCATACCATTTTTGAACAGTTTTTAAGGATGGGGGAAGACTACATGGTGTGATGATAATAGACTGGTCCCCAGTTATTGCATATTTTAAGGCTGGTTCTCTATCAAGTCTATCTAGTAAATCTGTGGATCCAGTCTGTGATGAAAGTAATGAGTCTTTGGCACATAAAATAGTTCTCCAATTTTTAATTCCAGTAACTAATGATGATGGTGATGATGAAGATAATGATGTCAATGGCGATGAATCAAACTCTTCCAGATCCTTTACCTGAAAGATGAAAGAAACACAACTGCTTGGACAAATTTTTCACAAAAATATTCTATTGGGCAATGTTTCATTTAAGAATACAACACTTACCATGTTGAAATATGGTAACACTTATAATAATTGAAATCTTTATAAAAAGAGGACTGTACATTGTGACCTAATTAACCTTTTGACAGAAAAGGTCAAATAATAATCTAGTCAAAAGTGATCTATGTTTTATATCTGTTGATAAACCTTTAAAAGTAACTAATAAAATGTAACCTCGACCTAGTTAAGTAATGGGTGAAAAGCAAGGGTCAACATTATTTTTGCATAACCTGATAGCAGTAGCATCACATCATGTGATCAGTCAGCATAAACAAAAAACACTTAACACAGTGCATGAATAAATCTAGCAAAATATACAAAAAAAAAATTCTTTTTTTCCCCTGATCAATTTAATATGATTTTAAGCTCAACGAAACTTTCAAACTTAAAATAATGAAACAAAAGCAACATTTACATGCAAGCTAACATTCACAATAAAAGCTTTCAAAAAAAATTATAGGATTTTTCTGGAGTCTTAAAACATGCCCATTTTCATCATATAACTTTCCTTTTTTACTGCATTCTTCTTAATTCCCCTCCCCCCACCTTTTTATGCACTCCCTCCCCCTCCACCTTTCTTGCACCCCAAAAAAATCCTATCACATTTTCCAACAGTAACACATACTGCCGACTTCATACAACATGTCTGTTTCTACAGAATTTGTGAATTCAAAACATAAATTTTTGAATGGCTATGGTTACTTCATACATTTTTTTTAAATATCACACTGGTCATAATTTATCTCCAAAATTTAACATATTGTTTCATTTTGTCTGCAGAACCGCAAAATAAATCCATACTTTTAATTATGTGGAGAGATATTTTAAGGGATTTAATTGTTTACATTTTATGGAGAAAAAAAATACCTCTTAAACTGCAGAATTTTTAAAATGGACTCGTCCAGTTTTGAATCTGAAACAGTCTTATTATTTGTTTATGGGATTTCAATATAGAAATATTCAAACTGAGCAGTGACCAGTATATGGCCTGAATAAAGTGAATACTGACCAGGAAGTTTATTAGTGACAGAGGGGAAAACTAGAATGGAACATCAGGAATAATCTAAATTCACAATAACCAGAATCCACAGAAATATAGTAAATATTACAAATAAAGTCATGTTAAATACAAATCTCAATTATCCTTGAAAATCAATGTAGGAATCAGGTCCTATTCCATTAGACAAGGCAGATGTGTAAACAAATCATACTAGGATATCTTCAGTCAATACATTAATCATCAAACTTTCTCCAGTTCCATTTTAAATCCAAGTTACATGTATATACTATAAGAAAGTTAACAATTTGCCCATAGTAAATGTTTGTTGATGATATTTCTTCTTCTTATAAAACATGAGGATCAAAATCTAATTTGGAGCAAAAAATATTCTCTTCATGAAAACATTTATATAAATAAAACTTTAATTGGAAATTCTTGAAAGAAACATCACTGTAGCAAATTTTCATCAACTTTAAACATTATGCACTTCTTTTTAGGTACATGTGTGTAAAAATACAAAAAAACGTATGTAAAAATACAAGAAACAAACTATTTTATACTGGCCTTATAACTTTTGGTAAAAATTCAAGTTCTATGTTACAGGATGTTGTATGAAGACGACAGCCAGAACAGTAAAGGATTATGGGAAAGATCTCACCAGCGTGGACGGCAACTTGAGGATGTGACCACCTCCCTCCCTAAAAACAGACAAACCGTCATGCACCAATCAAAACAACTAGTGACGTAATGCAAAAAAAATAAATACCGCAAAATAATATATGATATAAAACCACAATAATACAATTGAAGAGTACACTTATATATTGTTAGATTCTTATATATTGTAATACAAGTTATAATGTAGATTTATATAAAAATTATTAGAATATGTCCATTGTTAATTTTAATACCGTATTATAAGAACTTAATTATTGCTGACTTTCAAAAAAATCTAAATTTATTCATGCTTTGTAAGAAACCTTCTAAACTAATTTATTTAGCTAGAAAAGTACTAATGTGCCGACAAAAAGATGTGAATCATTTGAAATGGAGGTGGCCTACACAGATTTATTGTTAAATAGACTAATATGATTTTTCTAGCACTAAAATGAATGGGACAAGTATGGAGACATCCAATACAAATATTTTCATGGATACAGAAGCCAAATCTTTTAATACAAAAAGTAAAAACAAAACTTGGCTAAGAAAAATTTTATCAGATGTGAAAGTACTTTTAAATCTAAATATTATTTTAACCCCTACCTCATTTAATGTCTTAAATGGACTTGTCTGTATTTCAATCTGGACAAAACCTTTCAACATTTTCAGGGGAAAATTTTAATATACATACAGAATGAATAGAGAACAGTTCAGACCATGATCAGATGTTACAGATGTAGCAGATGATCTTGATCTGTGCTAGTTGCATTGGTTAATTCAGATGCAGTCGCAGTCCTTTTTTGGTGTTGTACATAAAGTTTTACCATTTGTTTTAACAAGCAATTAAGTAATACATTTTCATTTAAATACCAAACAGCTCTTTTGAATTGCGAGTAAGTTTTTACAAAATCAAAGGGTTGAAACATGAATTGGGAATGGAGGATCAATGGTTTAAACATAGCGGCTTCAAACCTTTGGCAGATTCAGATTATAAATATCAAATACAACAACCAGTGTAACAGTCCTCAGAGATTTTAAAGCAAATCGTGTACTTCAAATCAAAGATTCTTATAAAATATTAATCATATTTTGTTTAGTTAACAGCAAACCATGATCTTAATTTGTTACAATGCTACAGGTGAAAAATAAAAAAACAAAACAAAAACACCCACTGAAAACCAGCTGCTGTTAAAAAACCAGGTAAGGATATGATGTGTATTATTTTTTATCTATACTTGAATATTCTTTTTTATAACATTTAATCGATGCATTAATCTAACGTGCATAAAATTAGTAAACAATCCAACCCGCAGACTTAGCAACACATAAAGACAGAAAATAAGAAGGGGAGAACTAAAATAAGGATACGATGTAATCAAAGAGCATTCAGATAAAATTACAAGAACTATTTTTAGACATTAAGTAACCAATATTAAAATCTTTCTTTCAAAATAGACAGCTGTAACTTTTTCTTTAGTTTATTTGAGATATCAAATTAGAAATTATAATATTATAAATCATTTAACATTCAAACAATAGCTGCCAGATGGACAGCCTGCTTGATTATTATCAGCGCAAAAGAAACTCCATGGATACTACAAAATTTACAAGGGGCAATTATCAGGTCAAATCTAAATTAATGCTAGTTATGGTGTTTGGTCAGTGAAATACATTTATGACCACTAAGACAATGTGTGAAGTTTCTACTAGTGAATACCTTCTAGACTCTTGTAAAGACCGACCTTACACACAAAACTACTAAGAAATTTAATTCAGTAAAAATCTACCACTGAGTTATGGGCCTTGGACAGTGACCTTCAGTTTCAAGTAAAATATCTTCAATGGTAAATGATATTAAACAAAAAGTTGCACGCAAAATTAAAACAAAGTGTTATGACACATAGTCCAGTTAAAAAACATTATTATTAAAAATAATGGTTTTATTCCTGGAAAAAACAATAAGCTCTGATGTACATTGTTTATAAAGCAATGATATTATAGCACTATGATGAAGGAGACAGACCTGGAAAACATCCCATCTGCCAGGCAAGTGCATCGTGAAATCAAGATAAATAACATGCAAGAAAAAAAAAAGAACACATTCCATTTACCACCTATAATATACTACTTTACTCATGTGTAACTAAAAATTGAAACTAAAATTAAAGTTAAAAATATGAAATCAACAAACATGAAAAACTGTAGGAAAATCTTCTTAACTAATGGTAAGTGATTGAAAATCAAGAGTATCCATAAACTGTGGGTTTTGTTGTTTATGTTGTTTTTGCTATTTTTCTTTTTTTTTCTTCATTTATCCCATCAACAGCTGTAAGATAGGATAGTTTTTTTTTCTTTCCTTCTTCCCCACCCTCCTCCCCATCATTTTTTACTATGTTTCAAATTTAAAAGATAAAAAATACACTAAAAACTTCACATTTTTAAGACCAACTTATGCTAGTTTTAAGGAACAAAAACTAAAAATGAAACAGTAAAGTATTTTCCAACAGTTTCCAAAAAGCAACACACCATAATTATAAGATAAACAACTGAAAAACTAAGATGATCGGCCTAAATTCTCACCGTCTAGTGCATAGCAAATGAAGAAGCCATGAGTTTATAGATATAAGGAGCTGTGAAGAAGATGAAAGATACAAAATATTCTATATTGTGTTAGGATTTCATGCCAATTCTACACCAAAATACCTTGGTTTCTCAGGCACATCTCCATAGTTACTGTAAAAGGCACCTGTTGGTCTAAAGGCTGCCAAACCATGCTGATTGGCTGATTCGAGAATGCTATCAAGTGATGGAGGGGCCTTATTTGGTGTTATCACATGGCAGCCAGTTTGTAAACTACTTTCGTCAAATGTCTGGTAACGCTGACCTTTACCCTGATCCCAGTTTCCATGGTTACCACCAAAGTCATCACCTCCACTAGGATGACTTGATCTCCTTCGATGAGAAGAACTAGCCTGATTGCTCTGACTTTGCGTATTAACAGTTTTCTTTCTTTTTCCCTCTCCGCCACCCAATTCAAAAAAAGGTATTTCATGATTAGAGGTATGATATGTCTCAAACTGACCTTTTTCTCTATTTGCAAAGTTCTGTACACTTCTCATAATTGAGTCACTTAATTTGTTATTACGAACAATACCATAATCGGTACGTCCATTTTCTGACAAAGACCTGTGAAAAGATGGAAACGAATGTCTAGAGCTCCCCTCAGAACACGAGTCAAATAAATCCCCACTATTAATTCCTTTATCACTTTGTCTTGAACTAGGACGACTGAAGCTGAAACTTTCGAATAAATTTTTTGGCGAGCTTATATCACTTAAATGTTTTCCGTTTGATGGTGAATTTCTTTCTAAAGCCGCACGATTTAAGTCCATACTCATGTTTTGATATGCTTTAGAATTCCTGAAACTTTGATACTGTGTCATTAGCGAGTCATTTTGTGATAAAGAGCGGTTAATTTCTCCATTCATGTGAGGAATGGACTTAAAGAAGTCAACTTCTCCATTACAAAGCTCATTTTTATGAATCGAAAAACTTGAAGATGCATCTTGATATAAATTTTTGTTTTGAGAATTTCTAGCAAAGTCTGCTTTTAACCTTGAATCAAATCTTAATCTTTCCATATCCTCAACATTATTTTTTTTGCAAGGAATACTCAAATCTTGAATCTCCCCTGAATAACCATTCTTTAATCTTTCCTTAATAGGAACTACAGTCTTGTCTCTCAATGTGAACGTTTTTGTTTTGGCTGCTTCTTTCATTTTTTGATCAACTAACTCACTTAATGGCAATGCATATCTTCCTGATATTAAATCAAAAATATTGTTTCTATTTTCATCAGCTTTTCGTGAATTTTTCTTTTGCTCACACTGACGTTTTTCCTCATCTACTTTCTGCAACCGTTCCTCAAACATCTGAATTTCTCTCAGTTTTCTTTCCTTTTCTTCCATATCTGAATTCCTACGTGTTTGCTGTCCTGAATAATCAGGTGGCAACCGTGGTGACAAGTTTGGCATTGTTGGACTATCGGTGTATTTCGGTTTCCCGATGCGATTACGTTTTCTTATTCCAGAGTCAATATCACTATCATTCTCATCACTTATGTCACTGAACTCTTCACTATGAATAACATTAATAGAACCACTTGAACTACAAGCGCCTGGTGATCTACCTGGGCGACTCCCTGAATCACGCTCTATGGGAATACTAAAATAATCTCCTCCTTCAGAACCATTGCAACCTCTTGCAACTCTTGGGGATGAATACCTTGGTGATAAAGAAATTCTTGGAGATCTACATGGAACAAGGAATGGTGGAGTATTCCCATTACCCTCTGACTCTGAAAAGTTTGATTCAACACAAGTGTTAGTTTCCTCATCACTCTCGTCATTTCTTTCCGGGGAGAGCTGTGGTGGAGGACTTCCTTCCTCTATTTTCTTGTCCTTTTCTGACTCAAGCACAGGTGGTCCAAGATCAGGAGGTGGTGATTCAGGCCTTTTCTCTTCTTCTTGTTCTTTTTTCTTCTCTTCATTATCCTTCTCTGACAAGCAAAAAGATTTTATATCGCTGAAAGTCAAAGCTTCAATCTTAGCAACTGCAATCTTACTTGGGGTGCCTGGCATTTCTTTACTAGTGCTTGACTCGCTGTCTCGAATGCCTTCTGATCCCGCTTGCATTTTTTTCAGAATATCTGACATAGTCATTTTCTTTTCATTATGTTCAGTAGTTTTCTCAAAAGAATGCTCTTGTGCACTGTCAATTTTCCTCATTTCTTTAGGGGACAGTGGTCTTGGCGGAGAATCGCAACATGTATCTGACGACATTGGTGAAAGATAAGCTAATTTATACAAAGTATCTTCAAAATGAGAAACATGATCATCTGTTCTATCCAAATACAATTCAAAGTCAGGTGTTTTCATCCTTGGTTGCCATCTTGCTGGGCTGTCTACATCTGATATATCCCTACTCTTTGTCGGTGACTGACTAGAGGAGGAATTTCCAGTATCTACTTCACCAAAAACAGGAAAACTTGTGAGCTTCTCTAATGTTGCATCATGGAGAGCAGAGAGACTACACATCAGTTTAGAAGATCTTGACTTCCTTGGTTTTGGTCTTTTTTTTCTGCCCCTCGAACAAAACACACTCCCATCATGTATACTTTTACTGGCTTTTTTCTTTTTACTGTCAAATTTTAATTGATTCTTTGTGCCATTTTTTGGTCCCACGAAAGCATGTTTCAATATCTTTTCCTCTTCACTAGAGCTAGAAAAATCTCTAGTACCTGTTAAAACAGAAACATTCCTAATATTACTATCATTTTCAAACAAAACAGAACTAGAACAAGATTTTAAACACAAAGAAAAAGACTCACCTGCATGATTAGATGAACAACCATTCTGCCTTAGTATTCCAACATCTTCAGTAATATCTTGTCTTTCCTGGTCATTTACTGGTCCATGTAGACAGTCAGTACTTTTCAAACCATTTTCAATTTTGGAACTGCTATCACATCCCTTTTTTTCAGATTCATCAATGAATTCGGTTCCATCAGATTTTGTTCCGTAAGTGTCACAAACAGTTTTAGGTATCACAGCTTCATCTTTCTCTTTATGTTTTTTATTGTCTTCAGAACTTACACAAGACACAATATCTGGAAAATCACAATCTTCAGTGTCAGAATCAGATTCATTCTTTATATCAGCAGGTTCTGACTTACTTGCAAGAAATTTTTCAAATTCAGCTGAATATCCAGTCAAACATTCACTTTTTGATGGTTCAGCACTCCTTTCTATATTATTCTTGCTTTCCTTCTCTTCCACACCACTTTTTTCAACTTTTTCACTCTTCATTCTTGAACTTAATCCGTTTTTCTTATGTTCATTTGAAACACTAACATCCTTGTCAATCTGTAATTTTTCTAAAACTACACGTAACTCTTTACGCCCTTTAAATCTATTTACCACAATATAATCTACACCTGGAATTCCATCAGAATCAGAGTCATATCTGTAAGATTTCCTTACATTCTTCTTTTTTGATTTGCACTTTTTCCTCATAGAATCTTGATCCAAAGATGAACTTCTTGAACTTTTTCTAGAACTAGCTGTACTACTTCCATATGTCCTTGACTTTTTAACTCTTTTAAAATCATTTCTACAAGAATCACTGCCATCTGAACTTTGGCACCTTTTTATAGGCCCAGCTGACCAAAAACACTTTTCTTCATCTCCACTCATCCCACTTAGAATAACAGAGTTTCTTCTTGAACTTGATCGACTAGGAATCAGTTGACTATCTCTGCTACTTGAACGTGAACGTCTAATATCCAAACCTTTATCATTATGCTCATCAGACTTATTAAAAATACCATTTACATCAGCTGTTTTTACACTTTTACCATTTTCAAGCTGTTTCTCAATTTGTTTCTTCAACTCTTTTAATGATTCTATTTTGTCAATCTTTTCACGATTATTAATATCTTCATTGTCAGAACTAATAACACATTTAATTTTCAAATCACCCTTAACACTTGTATCACTTCCAGTTTTATCATCACAACCTTTATCACTTGTTATAGGACATTCTGATTTCACAATATTTTCAAAGTCTTCCTTTGCTTTCAATGCCGTTTCCTGTGTTTTAATTTTATCTGATTCAAATTGTTCTTCACCAACATTTTCATCAACATTATTCCTTTCATCATCACCACTTGTTACAGTATTTTCCGCACTAGCTTTTTCAATTTTGTCTATTTTCATTCTTTCTTTCTCATCTTTATTACCTGTATCTTCATCAGAATTTTCAAATTCAGCTTTATTCTGCAATTCCTTTTCTCCCATTAGTACATCCTGAAACATCTGAGCATTTCCTGATTGATTAAGGTCCAAGTCATAGTCCAAATCTTTTAATTTCGTTTCAAGGATGTTTTTCACCTGATTGTCTATTTCAGGCACAGTGCTTCCACCACCGTAATGAGCAGGACTTCGACCAGCTACTGGTGTTCTAGACTTTATTGGAGTTAAGATTCCATCATTCAGACACACATCTTTCAAAATAACATTTTCATCATCTTCATATTCTGGTTTCAAACCTTTATTATTGGCCTTCATTTTTGTGTTATGTGACCCTCCCCTTCCTACATGACCTTTTCCAAAGTATGGGAATCCTGCCCTGTACTTCTTCAAATGAGGTATAGTAGCTATGTTTTTCCCTCTGAACATACTATTTGGTTTCTTATCCTTTGACAAAGTCAATCTGTTTTGCTTTTTAACCATGAATGATCCAATGTTGTCTAACATGCCTTGTGGAAATGAATCATTCATCATTTCTTCAATGTCACCTGTTCCAATCATATCATCATTATGTGGACTATCTGCTGATAAAAGATCTGCAATAATAGAACCAGCTTGTTGAATATCAGGAACCTGTACAAGTCTTACAGGGGGAGGAATCCCTGGTACATCTTCCCCAGATTTTAGATTTTCTTTTATTTCATTTATCATGTTCTCAGATAGTTTCTTTAGCTGTATAATCTCCCTTCCTATTTTCAACAAACTGTATTTTCTGGCATCCTTTGGATGCATTCTAACAAAGTCGAGCTCATTGTTCTCCACTTCACTATTATTTTTCTTTACTCTGAACTTTAATCTCTTAAAAACTGGAGTAGGCACTTTGAATTTAAATTTATAGGCTGCAGACGTTTTTGGAGGTAATTCTGTTCTTTGTCTGTATCTAATCAGTTCCATGATGGTCGCAGTATCAGGCCGACCTTTACTCCCACCTGGGTGCTGAGTTTTCTTTTTTAGGATTGTCTTCAAGTTTGTCTTCTGAGAAGTACCTGGTAGATTAGTATCGATATCTCCAAAGTCCATTGACTGATCACTTGGTTTCTGATTTATTGCACTTGATTGTCCAGCTTCAATCTCGGGTAAAATCTGAGACAGATCTTCATTGCTAAGATCAGAAAGGTCAGCACTGAAATTCATTTGAGGTTCACTTATTTGCATTGCCTCAGAGAGATTAATGGTAGATAACTGTTGCTGTGTATTTAGTTGCTGTTCATGAAAAGGCTGCTGTGGTTGCTGTTGAAAAGAATAAGGTTGTCCTGGAAACCCCTGTTGAATTGAATCCTGCTGAGCTGGTGGTTGAAAATTTTCAGCTCCAAGGTTTGTATGGCTTTGATTCTGTGCTTGAGCGAAATTTTCAAGAGCTTGGTTTTGGTTTGGATCCACTGGAAACTGGTTTTCAGGAGGTGGAATTCTCATATTAAAATTGGTTTCTCTTGCAAACTGATTTCCCAGAGGTTGGTTTTCTGACTGTATTCCAATATGCCCATCAAAGTTAGATCCTCCACTTCCCATCATATTACCAGTTGTGGAAAATTCATTAAGTAGATCACTGTTATCACCTTCTAACAACTGTGAAAATGATTGTGATTGATTATTACTCTGACTTTGATAGTAAGGCATATTCATGTCCATATCTTTGTATGGGTCAACATTTGGTGGCATATCAACATTACGTGGTATTGAATACTGATTCTGTAACTGCTGTGAAAACTGAGATTCTGCAGAGTGTATTAGACTTTGAGCTTGAAGATTACTTTGTTGCGGAAAATTGGATGGTAATGTAAAATTTTCAGCAATTTTTCTTGGCCTACCCCTTTTCTTTTTCTGAACAACTCCAAATGTTTCCACTTTCTTTACTGGTGGCCTACCTCTCCTTCTCTGGCCTCTTCCACGGACAACATTTTGGCCAGGTTGTGCAGCATATTGAGGCCAGTCTGTGAGGTTGTAACTTCTGTTGGGACTCTGATAAGATGAATGACCTCTACCCCTGCCTCGAACACTTTGTATGTGGGAACCTCTGCTATGACTAGGCTGAAATGTCTGTGGAAATGTGTCAAAAGTGTTCTGATTTCCAGCACTTGGTCTTTGACCAATTGCCTGCTGACTACCAACCATGTGACTCTCCTGGACTATATTTTCTTGACTATCAGTCATCATAGATCCAATTGTTTGCTTATTAGATGTCAGTGTCCTGGCAGGACTCAAAATTTCCTGGGTATTGTGGGGAACCACATTATCTGATACCATACTATCAATCAATTGATCTGTTGAACTAGTTTTGTTGAAATTCACTCCAAATTCAGATGTTTCATTTCTCACACTACCAACAAAACTTTCCAAACTTGACAAAGATGCAAAATCATCTTTAGACTGTGCAGTCTGTGTTCCACTTTTATTGACAAAATTACCAGCAGTTGCTCCACCATCTTGGACAGCTGCTTTCATTGGTCCATCATCACTAAATAAAGAACTTAAACTATCAGCAGTGTTATTTTCTACACTACCAATGTCTGATAATAGTGAATCAGCAAATAAATCTTGTTGACTATCATTCAAACTTGCTTGTGTGTTTTCGATAACATTTTTGGTTTCTTTTTTAGGCTCCGTCTCATTTTTCTTCGAGGACAAAAGGTTGTACAATCTGGATTTCTCATGATTGTATCTGGTAGGCAGGAACCCCTCTTGTTGAGAAAGATTGTGAGGTTTTTCAGATCCCACAGACGATAAACTTGAAATTGAACTCCTACTTGAAGTTCTCTGCCTTTGATCTGGTCTTGTCAATGGAAGCTCGGAGGTGTCAAGCAGTAACCTTTGCAATGGACTTATTTGTGGGTCAGAGAAGTTACCACTTGGGCTATATGCAGCTTGAGGCTTCTTACTGGTTTCACTGGAAGTAGTGCTGATTGGCGTAGCAGGAGGGCTTATCTGCTCATACATTAATCTTCTTTGGAAATACTTCGTCACTGGACCAACAAATGGCTCTGATAATTTTGAACTTGCAGAACCAGGGCTCTGCATGCCAGAATCCCCTGATGGAGTTCTTGGAGAAAGCTGCAAGTGTCCTTTTGGGGAGTTATCATTCATATGGGTATAGCTGCCACCTTCATTACTCATCTGTCTACCATAGGTATCAGGTCTTACATTTGCCAAATCACTTTGGACACAGAGTGGATCAGGGAATTCTCCGACTGAGCCAGCCTTCTGACGTCGCTGCAGTAATGCATTACTTAGGAATTGTCTGACAGTTTTATTCTGAGGCTCTGGAGATGTCATGAAATTTTCATGGTTACCAGGAGCCTGCACTGTAGCACGAGAGTTTTGACTTCTACCTCTGCCTCGACCTCTTCGACTTCTTCCTTGATCAAGCAAATTTGCCACAATTTGATTTGAAAGCATTGCTGGATTTGGTCTCTTGGTATCGAAGTTGGACTGATCTATACCTTGAAAACTGTCGACGCTGCTAGAATGATGACTAGAAACTCCAGCACTTAATGGTTGAGCTGTATACATAGGTAAATCTGATGTATTCTGTTGAGCATTGGTTATGCCTGCATTGTTTTGCTGGTATTGATTTTGAATATCATTCATTTGACTAGACTGATTTGAATTCAACCCATAACTATGTGGTTTAAGTTGTGCTGGATTTTGAATGGACCTTTTAACATCATGGGACTGCAGTCCTTGTATCTGACTAGCCATTGACATTAAATGACCCTGCGATGTATTAACTTGATTGGGTCTTGAGTATGTAGGTACAGGAAAAGCTTCTCTAGGATTGTGTCTTTCTAATTCATGCATATGAGGCGAATCCAGTTTTTGAGGGAAATTTCCACCAGAATGTGGGAATCTTTCTGCTCCTCCTTGCATGAACCTATTCATGTCATGTGTTCTTTGATTTTGGCTGTGTGAGTAAGTCTGTGGTGGGCTATATGGTACAGTTGATTGACTAGAATGGGGTTGAGCATGATGTAAGTGTTGAGCTGTATAGGGTGGTGACATCTGCTGATTACCTGCTGGACTGAAGCCCTGTGGAGTAGGGTACTGGTTCTGATATGATCTTGGCGAGTGCTGACCCTGTGGTGAACTCTGGCCATATGACTGGTTACCAGCTCCATACTGATTATGCACATTCTGGCTCCCAGGTGACATCTGGTATGATGGTTTACCACCAATTGGACTATACTGGTTTCCACCTGATGGTGAATGCTGAGACTGGTGGTAACTACCAGGTGAGTGATGCTGATGTGAAGGACTGGAACCAGCCCCTGGTGAATGGTGCATTCCTATGTTCTGCTGTGGTATATTCCTACTCCAAGATTGATTTCCAGGTGCATTCCAGTTACCTGGTCCTTGGAACTGTGATACTTGATTATTAGGATAAGTGTTGAAATTCTGAGTTGGACTTGGAGCATCAGCAAATGGGTTGCTTGCTATCATGTTACCAAATGCATCATATTGTGTCACGGCACCTCTGTTTGGCATGGTCAGGTTGGAAGTTGGACCCCTCATTCCAAGCCTTTTCAGTATTGCTTCCTTAGCTTCAGCACGTTTTGCATCCCCTAAAAATAAAACTACCCCTTTAACGAATTTTATATAATAAATGAATTGGTTGCAACTATAATATACCTTGCATTTGTTTATTTAGTAGTATTAAGTTATCTATATTAGTTATCATCATTTTCATATCACATATAGTAAAGGAGTTTAAAAAAAAAATACTGTCATAATTTATATGTTTTTGGTGAGAGCTACATCTGTCATAAAAAAACACTTAATAATTAATTTTTACGGAACAAATATTAGCCCATTTCATTCACCTTTTCATTCATTTATTTTTTTATTTATTTATTTTTTTTTTTTTTTGGTAAAATCAAATCCTGTCATTTATGCAAAATATTTTACATACAAAAACCAATGAAATCCATGTGATAAAAGAAAATTGCACATTAAATTGTACATTTATTATGTTTGTTCATAAGCTTCAATACTGAACACAGCAAAGCACTAGGCTTATACAAATAAGTTTTCAAAATAAGTAAAACTAGTTACCTTTCTGATCAGGTGGCCCGTCATACTGAGGAATAATATCACTAGCAGCATCACTGTCACTACTGTAATCATCTATCACTTCAGCCTTATCTGTATCATTGTTTACAGCATCAACAGGAGTATCTATCTGAGAATCGATCCAAGTATCGTCCATTCCAGCAAGATCAAACTTAGCAGCTTCATCATCTTCACCCCTGTAAAATAGATGAAAGATATAAGTTAACATTTAAACAAAACTAATGTATCTGCTGTTTATTTGTGCCTGAACTATTATTTTTTTGCTTGAATGTTTTATACATTACACTTTCAGCAAATTTTACATCTTATTTCAATTTCTATGACAAGCCAGGAATGATAAATTTTCTTATACAGTATATAATTTTTGGGACAAGCCAACACATGGGTAGAATCAGACCAATACATTAATGTGGATAATTTCCTTATTTGGAAGAATTCAAAATTCCTTGTGTTACAGAGACACCATGGAAGTTTAACTGGTAAAGGAGAACCACTGATCCCCCAATGTCCCTAATATACAGCATCAAACAGGCACTGGATTACCAACTTTCTGTAAACTAGCTGGTTCGATTCCTAACCTGAAAGGATCCTAAGACCCTTGCGAGAGACTGTGGTCATTTAGACGTTATGATGCATTTATAACACAATAAAAACAAAAGTTAAAATCAGATAAATTTGATTATTTTATGACCATGATGATTGTTTTGCCCACAAAAAAACCTAACCATCTGCATCTGATTTAGACTTACTTTTCATCTTCTCCCTCCCACACAAGCTGTGACATTTCAAGAACTTCCTCTTCCTCTTCTTCATCAACTTTTTTATCTCTTGGCTGTGAAAGCTGTGACAGGATACTGTCTTGTTCTTCTAATGCTACAACATCAGCTGCTGCATTCTGGGAAGATGGCGGAGAAGTGTCGTCTGCTAATGATGCCAAAATGTCTACTAGAGATTTATCTTGACTTGAAACTGAAAAATGAATTGGGAAATGCACAATTAATTTTTGTTTTGAGAAAAAGATACAAACTTTTGGTGCCATGTTATCAGTTATTTCATTATTGCACAGTTTAAGTTCAAATGCGTAGTAATTTTATCATGAAGACCATAGAGTACATCCATCAGAATAATAAACTCTGCAGTATTATTTGTTATTAAATGCAAGAATATAATATTATATATTTCCATTCTAATATGCTCATACTTAAAAGAATCAAACTACATTCAGAACACATTTGCCTGAAGTCATTTGGTTTACTGAACCGGATACATGACATGTTTCCTTTTTTAAAACACTGTATATATATGGTATCTTGATGCACTTCAGACCTTACAGATAATTCTATAAAGGACAAACTGGGGACAGTGTTCATAATTTACATTCTCAGACTTTCGTCAGCTCTAAATTACAATTGTTCAATGACTTACAACACACTGATGTTGAAACTGTAAACGAACTTCATTCTTAATTTGCTTTCAATCAAATGAACAAAATATGAATCAGTTTCTGAAACTTTTTATTATCACAACAAAGATGGTTTACTTGTTTTATAATTGATCTTTTCACTAAAAATTTATTGAAATTTCTACAAATAGCATCAATAAGTAAATTGAATGAATAGTATCATTCCTTATTGTACATAGGATTAGTAGTAAGCCACTTGTGAAGAAATTGGTTAGTTCATTAGTACATTGCTTAGTACAAGCAATTACACTTAAATACTTTTATGTCTAACATAGTACCTATCATGCTTCAAACATAACAGTGGTTCAAATACTTCATCCCATAAGTAAACAAAGTCTGTATTAATACCCCACATACCTTTGGGCACTTCAGGCCTGACATCACAGAAGCTCTGACTAAAGGAGACAATTCTGTGTATAGATTCCTCGTTCACCACTGGTTTATCTTCTTCCAGATCCTCTTCATCAAACATCACAGTGTCTTGAGAACCTCCTACATCATCATCTACAACAATACACATCAAAACATCAATCAACTGTCTAGAGCATTTCTGCTTTCATTAACACAAATATAAATAATATATTTTTACTTTTCAGCTTCCATGGTTAAACAAGGGGATATTTTTAACGATAGTCCAATCTATTCATATCCAGACTTTACTCTACTCTGTTAACCACACTTAATATATTAAATCTTGACAAAACCTTTCTCAGTAACAGCTAAACTGTCCAAAATATGTACTTACTGAATAATCAGTGCAGACTATGATTAGTCAGCACAGATGTGCCGGTTCAGCTTGGTTAATCAGTTGGTGCCAGCAAGTTAGAGTTAATTTTGGTACTTAGATTTTGAAATCAGATGAATAGAGGACAGTCCCAAATTAAGACTGAGGTATGTTTTTTTTTTCTTTGTTTGGTTTTAAGTCACACCAACACTATAATGATTATACAGCCACATTTCAACTTTACTGGTGGATATAGACTCAGGTGCCACTCCAAGCATTATTTCAGGTACAACAGCCTGAGTAGAATCAATGACATTCCATAAGCTAGCTAGAAAGCCTCCACTCATGAAAGTCATTAGCAGGATTCATATCCAAAGCGTAAAGGGGCAAGGGGTTTGAAGACAACAGCCTTAATCCCTTAGCCACAGACACCCCATCAAGGTATGTGCATTGTATTTATAAAGGGCTTCATTTTCTTTTGCAAGCATACCCTCAACATGAAGGAATTTTAATAATGTTTTCTTTGTTGCAATAGTTATACAAACTAATCTTTTATTTATTCATCTTACTTTTTTGCACAACTATATTGTGAGAACAAATCCTCATTAAAAACTTTTAATTTGAAAACATATAATAGATTAGTTTTACACAGACAAACTCAAGAAGTAGACAAATGAAGGTTTCACCGGCCAATCCTAGGAAACCATCATATTATTATAAGTAAAACTTGCTTACCACGGCATATTGGTCACTCTGTTGTGACAGGTATTGCACAATGAAGCTGATCAGTAAAAGTGTACCCCAGTATTAGATTGAAAAACCCACATTTGCCCAGTCTCATACATATTATGAAAATAAAATAAATAAATGTGAGCAGAAAATACAAACCTTGTGAACCATGAAGATGGACATCTGAGGCTTGTGTCAGAGGGAAATCCTGTGAAAGTTCTGACTCTGTATCAGACTGGCTGTCCCTAAAAAATAAGTATTTTGTCCGTGATAAAATAGTAACAGGAACAATCTTAACCATATCTATATTTAAGGTAAACTATGCACCAAAATGCTTTTATTTTTAGCTTTTTATTTTTGGTGTCTTGTTTGTCTAGAATTATGTCTTGGTAATTGACCAATGACTTTTGTATGTTGACAAAGGGCAGTAATTCAGGCAAAATTCTTCTAGTTATTGAGTATTAGAAACTGACCTTCAATAGTAAATAAAGTATCAAATGGATCCCTTCAATTGATTTGAAGATTGATGTTGCATGTAGAAAGTCCAAAAAGGGCCATAATTCTGTCAAAATTTATGCTAGAGTTCTGGGCCTTAGATAGTGACCTCCAATTATAGTCTCAAATAAGTGTGTGATTAAATGTTTGATGAGATATGATACTGTACAAAATATTAATACATTTAAAACTTTAACCAGTATTGTGCAGACACTGATGCTTGTTTGTTTGTTTGTTTCATCTTATGCCTTTTCCCAACAGTATTTCAGTCATATAGGCGGGTAGTTTCCTAACCATCATTCCTGGAGAGTTACACCAGTACTAGACAACTTCCTCCGTAGTAAACTACCAAAGCATCTCCCGGGGATCGAACCCACGCCAGAGAGGTAACTGGATTAGAAGTCATCGACTCTAACCCCTCGACCACGGAGGCAAAAGTTATTCTGTGTAGAATACCCTTATTATTCTTTGAATAGTCAAGCTGAACAACAGATCTGATATCAAAGCAGAGCAAGTCTATAAATAAAATCAACAGGATATGAACACAATGTTTATATATAAAATGCTATAGTTACATGTATGGCTGTAGGTCTAATAATATCTGCTGTAACCTCTCTCTAAGAATCCTCTCACTCTCGGCTACATCAATATCTACCCTCTCTGAAAACAATTATACATAATTTATGTAATTACATGTATTATTAATGTGAGAAATCGACTTCTCATTCAATTATCAATACTTCAATTATCAAAACCAGAAATTCAATTATCAATACTTTAATTATCAAAACCAAAAATTCAATTATCAATAATTTAATTATCAAAACCAGAAATTCAATTATCAATACTTCAATTATCAAAACAAGAAATTCAATTATCAATACTTCAATTATCAAAACAAAAAATTCAATTATCAATACTTCAATTATCAAAACCATAAAATTCAATTATCAATACTTCAATTATCAAAACCAGAAATTCAATTATCAATACTTTAATTATCAAAACCAAAAATTCAATAATCAATAATTTAATTTAAGTATCAAAACCAGAAATTCAATTATCAATACTTCAATTATCAAAACCAGAAATTATCAAAATCAGAAAGATGTTTGCCTGTACAGCTCATCAGTGAATCTGGACACCAGAAAATAATCCATAGGATATGGACAGCAGGACAGACAAGACAGTGACTATATGCTCTCCCTTTGGGGAGCTTTAAAAATCAAAAGGTTTTGAAAAATTAAATTAATATTTTCATGACTTAATTGGCCTTTAAGCATCTAGCTATCTCTTCTCTCTACATGTCACTCATTTCTTCCTGCTTTATAACAAGTAGGTTTTAACAAGATTTTTCAACAAGATTTCATTAATTGACCAACTAATTAAATTCTAATAAATCTGTACTAGCTTGTATTTCACAAGTTACTGCTAAAGCACTATTAAGAGTTAAATATTTCAAAGCCGCACATCTCTCAATCAGTAAACAAGTTACAAACAAAAACATATAAATTTTTTTTCAGAAATGTGTAAATATTCCTACTTCAATGTGACACTGTATGTTTTATGCAAAATATGACTGAATTATTTTAATTACCCTATTTTTATTATTACACTCTTACTAATGGAGTCACTACAATTTCTGCACATCTTTATTCATTAAAGATAGTATCAATTGATAGCGTCTATAGCTACTCGCCTAAACTTTAGTAACAGCTCACCAGTATAAAACTTTAATATTCTTGCATAACTAGATTTAAACATATGCCTAAACTCAGAAAATTCAGCAAAATACAAAGCAAGAAAGTGATTTGTGACAAGTGTGGATTAACTTTTATTATACCATCCTTTAATGTTGAAAGAGACAGCTGTGAAATGTTTATGTCATGTGACCCATTAAAATCATTAATGTCATATAAATTGAAAATATATGAACTACATTTAATATATTTTATTGTCATTGAACATCTGTTCTCACAAAGTGAAAATAAAAACAAATCAACAACTTTCTACTTTAAATTTCTTCATTCATAAAGGACCTAAATTTGTTATTTATCATTGTCTATGTAAAAATGAAACCAAATATAACCTTGGGATTCTGGCGGGGCAATATCAGTGGAGTCCCCTCGGTCCCGCCTCCTCTGGCGCTCATCTTCCCAAAGTGCAGCAAGGCCAGGATTTGTGCCAATGTTTGCTGTAAATACAAAAAATACAAATTAGAAACTTTTTGTCAAAAAGTATTAATTTAAGCCTAACAAAGGGTTGCTTTTTCATACAAAATACTGGTCTATTCCATATATATAGAGGAAGCTTTTATTTATAAGAAGCCCTGATAAAATCACAAACTTCCACAAAATAGGTTTTACTACATCATTAGCCATGATAATTATAAAACTTTAAAGATATACAATGCTCATCTTTGAGTAAAATATTTTTATTGCTGAAATTTATTGAAATCTATAAAATTCTTACTGAATATGTCTTATTTAAATGCAAAATACTGAATTGCATTTTTTATCATAAAAATACAAAATCATAAAATTTACTTTTATTTTAAGTCACAAATGCCATTCAAGTGAAAAGGTTGAGTGCACAGGTAAATGTCAAAATAACTTACAAATTGACATATAATTTGTCCAATTTCAAATTTTACTATAGATAATGTATAGTTCATGTGAACTATATACAGTTTTAAAAATATCATTTGCAAAATTACAGTAAAGTTAAATTTTTAAAAAACAGAGCCAGTCCCTTTTTTAATTTAGGAAGTTTTCATATTTTATTCGGAACATTTTTCATTATCATAATAAATTGTTGAACAATCACCATTATATTAGTCAATCTCTTAAAATAAATACTAAAATGACTTATTCAACCCAACTTGGCAGCAAATAAATGGGCATAATGTCACTTTAGATTTATATATCTTATATAAGGTACAATGGCAACTTTCTAGCTTTACTTGTGAAGGAAGACCTGAGATGCCGCCCCTATGTGCATTATTTCATTCATGAGCGGGCACCGGCGTTGATATTGAATATTCATGAAATCCTGTACAGAATGTCACCCACAATACAAGACCACATGTATTTAAGCTACAGTTAATGTATATAGGTTAGACTGTATACATAATCAATATAAGTAAATCATGACAATTTTCAGGTCACTGAATTTCTATTTCATACCAAACAAATAAAATGGAAAACTATTTTCAAGTAGTCTAGAAATGTAATTAATGTACTTTTATTTCACCACAGTTCATCCACTTTACTTCATAATCAAGCATGTTATCATGTACCAGAAATATTCTGCAAAATCATTATTATTTGTGGGGCACTAATTTTCGTGGATTTCATGGACAGCTCAATCCACAAATTTAAGATAAAACAAAAAATTTATTTTGTCCACTGTATCATTATTTTCATTATGTTTAAAACTATTTGCATTTTACTTTTTCCAACAATCTGACAATGCATGGATTCAAGAACCCACGAAAAAGTCCCTTTTGACAAAACCACTATAGTTAATGCCCACGAAATTAAGTGAATTTACAGGACCATTTAATAAAACCTCTTGCATGGTGTTTCTTCATCAACATTGAAATGTGCCGTGTTTATAACTAAAATCTCTATGTCTTGCATTATTTCTGCATATTTATTAGCATCCTTTCCTCCCAGGCACATTTTGATTGTCTAATGGTTGCCTCTGAGCTTTTACTGTCATCCTGTAGAATTATGTCCATTTTTGTTGGTCTAATATTAACACTGCGTATTATGGAATACTTTCTTCTTTTCCTTTTTATAAGCATGTTATCATGAGAACAAATTTCAATGCCTATAACTAAACATTCGCTGCCACATTTTACTGCATGGTAAATTTACTGACATTAGGTCTTATAACTGAAATAAGTTTGGTTCAGTGGAGCAAATGCACAGTGCTGTTGGAAAAACATGTCAAAATCATTATACACAGTTTCATACACAACATGTGCAGAATGAACTAATTTGAGCAGCGTCACGACAAAACCAACAAAACCAATATAATGGGTTTGCTACCAGCATGGATCCAGACCAGCCTGCGCATCCGCTCAGTCTGATCAGGATACATGCTGTTCGCTATCAGTTTCTCTACTTGTTACAGGGTTTGTAAGCGAACAGCATGGATCCTGATCAGACTGCGCGGATGCGCAGGCTGGTCTGGATCCATGCTGGTCGCAAATGCACTTTGTTGGTTTTGTCGTGACGCGGCTCATTTTACATTGTAGACAATTTAATCTATTAGGAAGTGTTATATTTTAGCCAAGTTACTTTACAACCCCTATAACAATTATAGATTCTTTCATTGGTCAAGTAATGTTTAATATTTTCAGATCTCAACCAGGTTCAAATGAAATCTATGCACAATGCATACACGTCTTTTTATACTGACTAATAGATTATATAACTGCAAAACTTCCATGTAAAGTTATACCTCATATGCAAAACTAATGTGTAATGATATAACTCGAATTACTACTTTATTGCACATATCTTTATTGACATCAGGTTTTAGTGAACATTTTACCATGTTAATGTTCTTACCTCCTACTTCAAGTCTATTAAGAATGTCAGCTGCAACCACATCTACCTCTAGCTCGCATGTACTTAACCTTTCTACACTACCATCAAGGTATAGTTCACTGCAATAAAAGAAACAGACTATATACATATCAAAACTTGTACTAATAGAGGATATTGAATGAGTGTAAGTTCAATACTGAGTTTATTGAAAGAGTTGAATAAAATGAGCCGCACCATGACAAAACCAACGTAATGCATTTGCGACCAGCATGAATGGGACCAGCCTGCACATTCGCGCAGTCTGATCAGGATCCATGCTGTTCGCTATCAGTTTCTCTACTTATGGTAGGATTTGTAAGCGAACAGCATGGATCCAGATCAGACTGTGCGGATGCGCAGACTGGTCTGGATCCATGCTGGTCACAAATGCATTACGTTGGTTTTGTCGTGACACTGCTCCTATTATATTATGCGAGCCTCTGGCTTTATAAATATTCTATTTATCACATATCCAAAATAAAGACCGTTTAAAGCAAAAAAAGTCATTTTTCATTGACGAGCCTATAGTATAACGCTAACATTTAGCGCATCTTTACACTATGTTTGTATGACGCTAATGACGTCACATCAAAATAATATGCACAGCTACGCATAACCATTTTTACAGAGTCACAAAATCGGCACAGGTGTATGATAAATTGCAATATGAAATAGATAAAACACACATTTCAAAATTAAGCAGTCAATAAGAGCACAAACAAATGAAACATGAAGAGACATCAGAGAAACTGGATAACATGCTGATGAAGGGGCCACAAGACAAGAAAACAGACTATAGACACATAAAAGTATAATTCAATGTAACATGAAAACATGAAATGGAAATTGGCTGCTGCATGTATACTTATAATACATAACTGACTTAAATATATCAAGGTTCTAATGTTACAGATTGCCAACATATTATGGAGTGACACCATGCCAATGTCAATAAAACAAGAATGTCAAACGACACATATACCCCCCTTTCTAGCCATTGACTCACATAATTGGTAATTTTATTACAGAAACTTGCCAAAAATGGGTACATGGAAGTGTTCAATTATGGAAAAATCAACGAAAGCCATTTTGACATTTAAGGCCCCTGTGACCTTGACCTTTGACCTAGTGACCCCAAAATCAATAGGGGTCATCTACTTGTGATGACCAATCACTATGTGAAATATGAAGACTTTGTGATACATACTTTTCAAGATAATCAGCGGAAACCATTTTGATATTTAAGGCCCCTGTGACCTTGACCTTTGACCTTGTGACCCCAAAATCAAAAGGTGTCATCTAGAAGTGATGACCAATCTTAGTGTGAAATATGAAGACTTTGTGATACATACTTTTCAAGATAATCAGCGGAAATTATTTTGACATTTAAGGTCCCTGTGACCTTGACCTTTGACCTATTGACCCCAAAATCAATAGGGGTCATCTACTTCTAATGACCAATCACTATGTGAAATATGAAGACTTTGTGATAAATACTTTTCAAGATAATCAGCGGAAACCATGTGGTCTACCGACGGACAGACTGACAGACAGACAGACAGACCGACATTAGCAAAACAATATACCCCCTCTTCTTCGAAGGGGGGCATAATAAATGTACATAAAATTATAATAAACATTTATAGATTTGCATGTGTTGATAGGTATACAGATGTTTGAATAAATGAAGTCAAGAAATGACTTTGACCAACTGACTCGCTGTATAATATACATAGTAATTATAGGCTGACCAATACTAAACATATCATAATAAAGCTGGAAGCTTACTAACAGTACATTTATTATAAAGGCCTTTGTTAAAACTGTCATCTAAAGAAGCACAGATAAATAAATAATTCAATAGTGTGTCATATTTAAGAGAAAGGATTTTTTTGTTGTTGTTGGGTTTAATGTCGCACCAATACAGTATAGGTCATATGGCGACTTCCCGCCTTTACTGGTGGAGGAAGACCTTGGTTTGTTATTTCAGGCACAAATTACCACCGACATTCAGTATGCCAGCCAGATAACTTTCTTACATGAAGAATATGAAGATGCTGGCACAGCTCGAACCTAAGCAGTGAGAGGCAAGTAGTTTGAAGTTAACAACCTTAACCACACTGCCACAGACGCCCCACACTAGATTCAATTTATCAATAATACAAGACCTTTCTCAATGCACAATGCAATGTATAAATAGAAACCAAATAAAAACTAGAAATGTGTCCATAGGACACGGGTGCCCCCACCACGCCACTGTTCTGTCAATCTTATGACTCTAGGTCAAATATTTTTTGAAAACTAAAAATCTTTTTACTAAGTAAAGGGCAAGAACTTTACAAATACTGAATAAATCCCCAAGCAAACCCCAAGTTGAAAATTGCAAATTTATACTACTGTAAGTCAAGGGCAATAACTCTAACAAAACTGAAAAAAATCCACATGCAAAGTCCCAGGTTCATAGCTTCACAGTGATGTGAATCATTATTCCTGTAATTTAGTGATGTTGATCATTATTCCTGTAAAGTTGGTCGATTCTAACTCAAGCACTCAAGCACTCAAGGAACAAATAACAACATAATGAAACAGTTTTTACTAAGTCAAGGGAAATAACTCTACAAATACTGGATAAATCCACAAGCGAAACCCCAGGAGCAAAACTAAATATGCTGAGCAACCTTCCAATAAGGTTTAATGACTCTATGTCAAATCCTTTTTGAGTTACATGCGACACAAGTTGAAAATTGCAAAAATTTTCAAAGTCAAGGGCAATAACTCTAAAAATACTAAATAAATCCAGACAAAAATACCCAGGTGCACAACTACACATGCTGATCAATATTCCTGTAAAGTTTCATGACTCTATGTCAAATCCTTTTTGAGTTACATGCATCACAAGTTGAAAATTGCAAAATTTTACTTAGTCAAGGGCAATTACTCTAAAAATACTAAATAAATCCACACGAAAATACCCAGGTGCACAACTACACATGCTGATCAACATTCCTGTAAAGTTTCATGACTCTAGGTCAAATACTTTTTCAGTTACATGCGACACAAGTTGAAAATTGCAAAATTTTACTAAGTCAAGGGCAATAACTCTAAAAATACTAAAAATATCCAGACGAAAATACCCAGGTGCACAACTTCACATGCTGATCAACATTCCTGTAAAGTATCATGACTCTAGGTCAAATACTTTTTGAGTTACATGCGACACAAGTTGAAAATTGCAAAATTTTACTAAGTCAAGGGCAATAACTCTAAAAATACTAAAAATATCCAGACGAAAATACCCAGGTGCACAACTACACATACTGATCAACATTCCTGTAAAGTTTCATGACTCTAGGTCAAATACTTTTTGAGTTACATGCGACACAAGTTGAAAATTGCAAAATTTTACTAAGTCAAGGGCAATAACTCTAAAAATACTAAAAATATCCAGACGAAAATACCCAGGTCCACAACTACACATGCTGATCAACATTCCTGTAAAGGAGCATGACTCTAGGTCAAATACTTTTTGAGTTACATGCGACACAAGTTGAAAATTGCAAAATTTTACTAAGTCAAGGGCAATAACTCTAAAAATACTAAAAATATCCAGACGAAAATACCCAGGTGCACAACTTCACATGCTGATCAACATTCCTGTTAAGTTTCATGACTCTAGGTCAAATACTTTTTGAGTTACGTGCGACACAAAAGAGAACGGACGGACGGACAAGGGTAAATCTAAATGGGGGCACAAAAAAACACCCACTTAGTGCAGGCAGTCACTAAATGGATGTGGTTCTCAAAAGCAATCAAATATATTTAAGACAGGTAAAACAGATGCTTTTAGTTTGCAAATGTCAAATTGTAACACATTTTAATCATGACTGAAGTGTACTCTGCAATCCAATAAAATTCATTAGTTTTGGTTTTGCAATCCAATAAAAAAATTTCCCATTACGACATAATTATTTTTCTACTCTATTTGGTTAGGTGTCAAGTCACAATGACAATGTGAAAGTAATATCATGATTTTCTTGCTGTCCTGTTCAAGTAGGGACAATGGTTATGCTTGGTCTATTTAAAGTATAAGTAGGCACTTCTATAAACTTCTGTAAGCCAAAAAGGGATAGCATTGGATATGCATCCAGGGGTGACTGGTTCGATCCTATGACAAGGGGTAAACTCTGTGACATGCAGGCTGGCCTTGCTCCATTCTGGTGGCAAAGGCTTATACATAAGGTTCCTGCAGGTTACAAGGTGAATTGTCAAAAATACCTGGGTATGTTCTCATTCTGCCACAACCGCTGTGAAGGCGTCACCGAACCAGATCGGTTCAAAAGTCCTGTAAATGAAATAGGTGTCTTTGGGTCAGATCCAAATCCTTCATCTGACCCCTGGCTTAGTGGCATAACTTCATATTCATCTGTAAATATAGGCATATTTCTATACATAGACAAGAAGGAAAAGAATATACATTAAATATTGTTTTAATAGTTAAAGGAATAAAAAATTTAAATTTGAACTTCTTTTCTTTTTTTGCATAAGAGGGGGTAAGGGGGTGGGAGTTAATCAGAAATTTTACTTTAGGAAATCCTATAGAAAACTGACATGGCTAAAAACTGCATCCTTTTTCTTCATCACTGAAATTTATTTTTTGTCATCTCTACAAATTTTCCATCAATATCTTTCTCAAGATTTCAAGCTGATCAGCTGTCTAAGAAATACAGCTTCCTTTTCCCTACATATTTTCTTTTCTTTAATTTTCTAGACTCAACTGTGGCGAAAATCAATATTGAGACACATAAACATGGAGAATACATGACACTAGTCAAGACAAGAAATTACAAGATTACAAGAGAGAGCGAGAGAAAAGAATTGCAAAAACTTGTTACCGTTTTCTGACTGTCTCCTAAATTTGACGGCAGCTGCATTTATCATATTCATCCCATACAGATTGTAGTCTATAAATAACTGAAATAAACACACAGACAATCCCGGATTAAGTCTATAAATAGATGTAAGAAACACATAGACACTCTGCAATTAATGCTAAAAATAGACTGAAAGAAGCAGACTGACAGGCTTCAGAATTGTTCTATAAATAACTATAAGAAAATATGACAGGCTTGACTGTGTCTAATAATAGAATCAGAAGACACCAACCTCCAATATTGAATTTTGTCTTTAAAACTAATAGCCTCTTGCTGAGTCAACGAAGTTGTGAAAATCAAATTATAATTAATATATAATATAAGATATTTTTAGTGTTTATTGAATATAAAGATATTCACAATAGATATAATGTTTTGCACCTTTTATGCAAAGGTTATCACATTTTCTACTCACTTACTGTTATTCAAAAAGTAAGGTCAGTTTTGACAATTGTGACACATTCACGAATGGTTAATGCTTTATTCATGATTAAAACATCTTATTCCTACATTTCACATTTTACTTATTTTTTTTCAACATGTTCTAAATTTTTATAAAACTTTATACACTATACACTTTATGCACAGTGCTTGAGACTATAAACAAAATTTACACAAAATGTGTCCGTAGGTCAAAGATACCCCAACATTCCATTGTTTTGTCAGTAGGCAGTGTGAAGCAGGACTAACAGGAAAATCTATATGTTGCCCCCCCCCCCCCTTAGTAGTGGGGGCATGAACCTGTCCTGAATAATTGTCTGCACATTAAAGAATTAAAATGCAAGCTTGTAGTGAAATATTATTTTAGTCACTCTCAGATTCTGTTTTAACCTTTCATACCTTACTACTATGCTCTTCACAGAAATCATTTGAATAAGCAACCAAATCAATACTAAGAAACATATGCGACCCTCAGAATTATTATTTCCAGACTTAACACTCCTCTTATCAAGCTAATCATGTAAAAGTAATCACTTTACCCATTTCAGTGCAAGCAGGAATCATTCCCTGCCCTTCCCTGCCCTCCAGTTTAGAGGCTAACTAGTCCCCACTTCTACACAGTGTAACTTCACTGTTGACAGCTCAATTTAATAATGTTAAACAATGAAAACCCTAATAAAATCATCATACTAAAAAGATGATTAAAATTCTGTTTTTGGTTCAGAAGTAGATAAGTAAAAAATTCTTTTCTTTTTTCTTTCCTAATTCTTTTATAATTCATATTAAATTTTGTAAAGAAAAGATTTTGAAAAAGTAGACAGCCAAACACAATGTCAAGGGTTGGAAGTTAAAAAAGAGCTGGAAGATGGGGGTGGGGACAGGAAACAAATATTTCTCTCTCATTTTTTTGGCCTATGGACACTTCCTAAAGGACAAGTCAATTACACAAAGTCAGCGGTTAATGGCTGATTTCTTACCTGTAATGTATAAGGTATATGAGACTCGTGGGGTTGGAAAGGCTTATTTAATACAGCTCCACCAAGTAATAAATCTGCAGCTCTGTAAACATATAAGATTATAACTTATTTGGTATTTATAGAATAAAGATATTTCCTCATATATATATTAGAGACCTAAAAAAATACTTGATCGAAGTATGAGCTTTCAGAAAATTTAAAGCGCTAAAGTCCTTTCCTCGACACAGATTTATTTCCTAAATTAACAAAAAGAATAAATATGTTACTATTCCATTTTATGCATCCTGCATTGTTTCAAAATTCCTTAATTTTGAATTTGTAAAGACACAAAGATGGCCAATATCAGTTCAAAAATTGTCATGAAGAATGCCAATCCATCAAATCACAGACAATTCTAGAGAAAAAAAAGACTAGCGAATGTGCTTTGGCTAATTATCAAACGTAAATCAAACTTGCCACAAAGTTTACGAGTCTTTTTCATAACATCATGTGACAAAATGTTTCTACGAATTTATTGTGGAACAAAGGTATAGTATAACACTGCTGAGCTTGTCATGTATGCACAATTTCAACAACATCAGCAACAAACACATTTTCTGTTCAGTGCAAAATTGCTTAAATATTCAAGGACATTGGAAGGCAAATTTTCCAAGAAATATTTTCTATAAGATGGTATGACATCTATTGTAGCTTCACTTACAGGAAGTAAAATTTTCTAAAAACTTCCTCCTAAGACATTTCATTCACTCAAAAAAGAACCAGTTACCAGACAGGATTTAATGATTTTCATTTGCTGTTGACTTTTTTTTTTTAAATCAATAAACACTCACGCTTGCACCTCATAAAATATAGCTACAAGATTTGCCTGGCTAACACGTTCTACCAAATGTTATTAATTCCATCACTACAGAAGCTCTATATGGGGCAATAAAAAACATTACTTAGCCAGTTTATGGACATTCAATATTTTTGTACAATATACAGTACCTACTGACCATCTAAACAAACCCGATCTTTCAAAATTTTGTTTAAATCAAAGTTTGGTTACGACGAAAGACACATAAGGCTATCAACACAACACACTGTTGAAATACAAAATTAATTTTTTCTTGATCTGATAGAATCTTATGTCAGACCATTGTTCTTTTAAACCTAAATAAAACATTATTAAACCGAAAGGGGGAACAAAAGACCCTATTTGAGAGAGAAGCAGACAGAGAAAACTGCAATATTTACTCTTAGCCACCTAGAGGCGAATGAATCTACCCATGCGGCCAGTGCAGACCAAGATCAACCAGCACATCTGTGTCAACTAATCATGGTCTGCACTGTTAGTTTCTTTTTTTAAAAATCCTAAAACAACTAGAACTGCCACTATCATGGCGTGAATACCTCCGCATACCACTTTGTCAGAATCAACAGTGGCCATTTATAGCTCAAGGACAACCTCCCTGCCAAATCTGAGGTTACTAAGCCAGTGCATTGCTAAGTTATGTATTCTACATGCTTCAAATGTGAAAATCTCTAATCAATACATTGCGGACAGGACATTCTTTAGCAATTGAGAAGAAAAGCTTTTTTTTGTCAAGGTCCCTGTGACCTTGACCTTTGACCCAGTGACCTAAAAATCAATAGGGGTCACCTTATAGTCATGATCAACAACCATGCCAAATATGAAGACTGTGGGTCAAAGGAATCTTAAGTTAATGGATGGACAAACTTTTTGAAGTCAAGGCCCCTGTGACCTTGACCTTTGACCTGGTGACCTCAAAGTCCATAGGGGTCATCTACTAGTCATGACTAACCTCCATGCCAAATATGAATACTGTGGGTCAAAGGAATCTTAAGTTATTTGGCGGACAAGCTTTTTGAAGTCAAGGCCCCTGTGACCTTGACCTTTGACCTGGTGACCTCAAAATCAATAGGGGTCTTCTACTCATCATGACTAACCTCCATGCCAAATATGACGACTGTAAGTCAAAGGAATCTTAAGTTATTGGACGTACAAGCTTTTTGAAGTCAAGGCCCCTGTGACCTTGACCTTTAACCTGGTGACCTCAAAATCAATAGGGGTCATCTACTAATCATGACTAACCTCCATGCCAAATATGAAAACTGTAGGTCAAAAGAATCTTAAGTTATTGGGCGGACAAGCTTTTTTAAGTCAAGGCCCCTGTGACCTTGACCTTTGACCTAGTGACCTCAAAATCAATAGGGGTCATCTACTAATCGTGACTAACCTCCATGCCAAATATGAAGACTAAGGGTCAAAGGAATCTTAAGTTATTGGGCGGACAAGAAAAAACTGACGGACAGCCGGACGGACAGACGGACAAGCTGATTCAAGTATACTCCCCTTACAACTTTGTTGTGCGGGGGTATAATAACTAATGGTTTTGTCCGGATTGAAAGATGGACATGGCTAAAAAAAAATCAGACTAAGACAGCCCAGTGATTTTTCTCACTTAATTCGGAAGAGGCCTGAGCTTCTTGATGGCTAATATTGCTGATTTGGGAAGTAAAAAAGCAGTTATAAGTTCCGATTTTTTCAAAAACTGCATGATTTTAAAGAAAATTCAATTGTGAGGTATGGGAGTCTGTAACGTAGGAAAATCACTGCAGCCTTACTATTCTTTGAATAGCCAAGCTTACAAATAAACTTTTTATATTTAAATTTACTTACTTTTTGATCATACTTGGGTTATAGAAATATATCTTCAGAAACTGCTGCTCCTTGTCGTGGTAGCCATACATTGATCTAAAATATCAAATGAGCCGCGTCACGATAAACCAACGTACTGCGTTTGCGACAAGCATGGATCCAGACCAGCCTGCGCATCCGCGCAGTCTGATCAGGATCCATGCTGTTCGCTATCAGTTTCTCTACTTGTTATAGGGTTTTATAAGCGAACAGCACGGATCCTGATCAGACTGCATGGATGCGCAGGCTGGTCTGGATCCATGCTGGTCGCAAACGCATTATGTTGGTTTTGTCATGACGTGGCTAAAATTATTTCACATTAATTTACAATATATTCAAGTCTTGACTTTAATGGGATTTTTTTCTTTACTGCACTTCTTGTTTAATTCAATACAGATTGTCACCACCCCCATATAAGTTATTCATATATTATAATACAAATGTACCACGATTAAGAAAACCTGTACTTGTTCATGTTTTGTAACTCTTTCATTCCTTTTTTTTATGAGTAAAAAACCTTACAACAGCATAAAAACTGTAAGTAAAGTAAGAATACTGGCAACTTTAATATCTTCTTTTTTAGAAGCCTATAGAAAATAACAACAAAAAAAACGAGCAGGCACCATTCAAACTTTATATTACAATACACCAGACGCAGAGGTGGGGAAAAAATTCATCAAAATAATAAATTTGCTACCAAACTTGGATACAGACTGAAAATTATAACCTCAAAAACAGGTGGAAGTTTTGTGGGAATTTACTTTGTCAAAGAGGGATGGTCTCTTGTTCAAAATACACGAGAAGTTGTCAGCTGCAATTATAGATAATTTGTTCCAGTGCACAGTGAATTGATTACAAGGATGATCTGCCTAGTTTTAACAACACAGAGAAAAAAATCTGAATTAATGATGAATTTGCAACAAGTTAAAACCGTCTTAAATCCTTTATTCGCACAGAATTTACTAGAGAATTTGAAATATTCTGGTGAGAATGGAAGTTTTTATTCCCTACTGAATACTGAAATGTATTCCTTTCTCTTGACTAAGAACTGTTTGTCCTTATGTAAATACGAGGGAATCCAGTATCTTTTACATCATTTATAAAACAGGGTTCTTCATTTGCCTTCCATTTATATAACCAATCACACAAAATTAGACAGAAAACATAGCTGAATTATCTATAATTTTCAGAAGTTCACTTAAATTAAAACTTAACCTGCTGAATTTCTTAAATGAACTTGTCCAGCATTTATTTTTAAACTATCAAAAATAAATTTTGTTGAATATTTGTATTTCAGTTTGGTCAGCAAACAGTTTAGAGCATGGTTCGACTGCAGGGATATGCAGACTGGCCTTGCTCTATACTTGTGGCAAAGACTGATACCTTTCGGTAACATAAAACCACAAATCTTTTGTGACTATGGACTTAAACATCTTGAATGCTAGTAGCCTGCCTGCAAACTATTTGCTGCTCAATCTTTTAATGTTGGTCATGAAATCCCTGCAAATAATAATGAACTGTTCCAAAATGAAAACAAAACAAATCTATTCTGCCAAAAGAGAATTACTCCCATTTTAATCCCGGGGTACACACAAACTTATACAGTAACTATATCAATAATAATGGTAACAAGTTCAGATAACTCTATTTGAATGTTTGTGCATTGTGAAGTTTTAACTGTACAAGTTTGGTTGTACTCCGGGACTAGATCAATTACCGTGCAGCGGATTAAAATCTTTTCAGCAGGCCAGGTTTTGAAGACTTACTACATGTACATATCATAAGTAAAAACTTAGAAGGCATATTCTGACATAATTCTTGTACACTGAATAGATACTAGTTTTCTAGGTTGGTTCATTAAGTTTTCATTCCAGACAGAAAATGACAATCAACATAATTGTATCTACTTTCACTGACAACAATGACATATTACTATCATAATTCAGTAGTAACAATACACGAATGATTTATAATTCAATTATCCTTTAAAATGGTACATCCATTTGACCTATTTTGTTCAATTTTATCTTCCTTTAACCTTTAACCTACTGATACCATAAGTGATTAACCTTTGCCACCAATATAGGGACAGTATGAGGATGTTCTATTCTGTTGGCTAAGAAACATCATAAATATTCATATCCCCAATACTGATAATGGACTGTTCCAAAGATTTGAGCTAGCCAATTCTAGTTAAGAAAATTCAGAAGATTACGGTTAAATCATCAAGTAAACATTTACATGACCTGGAACAATAAAACTCCTGTCACAGAACAATATTAAAACTTATGTATGAACAAAACATCGACTAACTTGATAGACGATATATCATATTATAATTTATATCATAAATTAATTTATGACAACTAGTAATTATAAATATTTCCTTATTTGAAGTCTCTGTGGCCCTAAAGTTCAAGTGATATACTTCAAATCACCTGCCACACTTACTGCTATAGGTTCAAATCCCAGCAGGGACGTTGGGATTCTTTCATGATGTGAGCCAGCTATTCAGCTAACTTATCAATGGCAGATTTGTGGTTCTACTCAGATGACCACTTGTGACAGAAATCATGGAAGGGACGGGTTCTACTCAACTGACCACTCATGCCTATAATCATGCACAGAGCGCACCTGAGATATCCCCCCCCCCCATTGATAAGGCTAGAATGTTGCAGTATCACATTTAAAAGTAGATATCAAATAGATAATATAACTATTCGTGGATGTAATTTCAATACTTATGATGGCAATTAAAATGTAACATATAGAAGTCAATATATGCAAAATTTCCACTTTTTCCACCAGTGTTTATGACCCAAAATGATGACAAAAAGGCCTGTTAATGAAATCAGTTTTCACCTAAAACAGCAAGTGGGTCTAATCTCTATTGGTAAAGTTAACAGAGCTTTAATATCATTTTACCATATACAGACTATAAAATGAAGGATGAATTGCAACTTTATTGTATCTTATTCTTTCCATTCACTGATTAATGTATTAAACCCCCAGATTAACATTCCCCAGGTGAATTCCACCCATGCAACTGGTGCAAACCAAAATCAGACGGCCTATCATTGGTGTCTGATCCACAGGCGGCAGTATCAGTGTTTGGACACCCCACCCCTATCTGCCCCTGGACCCCTACTACAACCCTGAAAAAAAATTCAACACTCTAAGGCTTACTATAAGGTACCAAATACAAAACCACCGATGAAATTATATAAAAAAAAAAATTTTCCACTATCAAAATTATAGTTATAGAAAGGTGTAAAGCCTACTATATGTCCATTTGCCAAACAATGTGGAACACGGGAAATCGTCGTTTCGGCGACTGAGGCGCATTCCGGCGGGATTTCGCTGCATCATTCATTAACATTATTAAAAAGAACTAGAATTCCTCAGTTTATGTAATTCAAGTCCAACGAATATCACTATCATTCCGATTTTTTCTGTTTCACGGTATTTTTTTAATTGTCGTAGCCATTTTGCAGTCTGATACCTGGGTTGAAATACGCGATCTGATTGGACGAGCCAAATTGGACGTCCAATCAGATCGCGTATAACACACAGGTATCAGAATCCAAAATGGCAACGACAAGTCAAAAATTACCGTGAAATAGAAAAAATCGATAGAATATTGATATTCATTGGACTTGAATTAAGTAAGCTGTGGAATTCAAGTTCTTTTTATTGATGTAAATGAATGATGCAGCGAAATCCCGCCGGAATGCGCCTCAGTTGCCGAAACGACGATTTCCCGTGTTCCACATTGTTTGGCAAATGGACATATAGTAGGCTTTACACCTTTCTATAACTATAATTTTGATAGTGGAAAATTTTTTTTTTTTATATAATTTCATCGGTGGTTTTGTATTTGGTACCTTATAGTAAGCCTTAGAGTGTTGAATTTTTTTTCAGGGTTGTAGTAGGGGTCCAGGGGCAGATAGGGGTGGGGTGTCCAAACACTGATCGCCTGTGTCTGATCATGGCTACACTGTTAGCTAATTTTGGTTTTTCCCCTAAAAACAATGAATGGCTTTGTCCAGATTGAAAGATGGACAAGTCCATTTTAGATATTTAGCATTGTCAGGGTTAAAGAACAATATATAATCATCAATGTTTACATTGTCAACTAATGTGTATCATGTGATACACATAACAGGTAATGATGATCCACAATGAATCTCTCCTATTGAATTAATTTGGATAAACCACAATTCATCAGGTAACCTACTTACCCATGTGTAAGATTACCAAAATAAGTGTGAAACAGATTCATGACAAAATTGCACGATGTATTTAGTGCATGAATTTATATATTCATGCACAATATATACTTTATTTATTTTATGTATATAGTGGATTAATTTTCTTTGATCCCATGAAATACTGTACTTTCCTCAATGCATCATATAATAAACATCTTAAGTGACTTTAACAACTAGTGAATGAAGCCTTTCAACTAAATATTTCATTACACAGAAGTGAATTTTTGTGTGTGCTAAGGACAACCAAATACTTGTTCTTGCATGCAGATTATCTAGTGAACTTCCTTGATTTTTTTTTCTCCATTTTACACATCTCTGCTCTATAACTGTCTCAAAACCTTTTTCTTATCAATGATTCATTTTGATCGGCATCAAAGTATAAATTGACAGTTCAGACCTTTAAGATTTTGCGAACAACTTCCCAAGGTTATAGTCAGTGTGTTGTGAGCTAAAATTCATATCATATTTAACCCTTAGCCAGCTGGTGGCAAAACACTACCTATCTGACTAGTGCAGACCAAGATCAGCTGGTCCGCACTGTTTGCTATTCGCTCGGTTTATACTTTGGAATTTTCCTTAGAATTAAGAAAGGTGGGTTGTTTTTGTTTTTTGTTTTCAGACTGAGAATATGGACATTTTAGATATTCAACATGGTAAGGGGTTAATGTAGCTGTTACATGGGTAATAAATCAATACATTTCTCCTTAAATAAAATTTTTGTTTCCATTTTTTTTTAATTATTTCACATATATTATAAGTATACTTACTTCCCAGAAACCAGCACTATCTTGTATACATGCTGTATATTTGCTTGACTGTGTCCCTGGGCAACATTGATGGCTTTGTCAAGACTCGTCGCAAAGTGCCGTAAATACCGATCCCATGGCACTGTCCCGTCATATGGCACATAAAGGTACGGGAACACTCCATGAACATGCATGCATGTTTTCTGACCTGTAATTACATAACATATACATGAGCAAGTTGCTAGTTAAATAAAAAGACTAGAGAGTTACATTTTAAATATTACTTTACAAACACTGAACTTTGCCCCACCTACAGTCTTCAAGAGTTGTCCTGATGTAATAATATGCATTCAAGGTCATCATGGTGTGTTGTGCTGTATATGTATCACGGTTCAGAACTGTTCACTATTTAGGGGAAATGTATAAGCAGCCAAAGAGCTCAGTCGGTAGAGCAGCGGTACGGTATTCTGAGGGTCCCGATTTCACATCCCAGTCAGGCTGCACATTTTTCTAACCCTGTGACATTTGGCGCCCAACATGGGACCGTGACTGAATATAGCTCAGATTTAATTTACATTGCTCTGTAACTCTGTGAAATTCTAGGACAAATTTCAATATAGCAGCGGAGAATGTCACGCTTCTGAACTGTTCACTTTTTCGGGGAGATGATGTGTAAGCCACCAGATAGCTCAGTCGGTACGGTATTCAGAGGGTCCTGGGTTTGAGTCCCGGTCAGGCTGCACATTTTTCTCACCCTGTGACATATGAACAAAAGTCATGAAACAGAAAAATCACTTTAAGGGGGTGTGGCCTTAACTACAGACAGTTCCAACTTCAACTTAGCATTACAGACCTTTTATGAATATATACATGATTGTAAAATAAAATCTTCGATCCTCTCATATCTCTAAAAGCTGTATTCTGAGAGAAATTCTAGCATCCATTCTATATATAATACAAAATGTGGTCAATAATTTTCCTCTTTTTTTTTTACTATCTCCAGGAAGAAAAAAAAACGAGAGTAGTCATGTGTCTGAGACCTCTATGGGGATTAATGACAATGATTACTCCAGGCAATTAGTTTCACAGAGATGTACCAACCAGGGAGGCTTCTGCCTGCAGAATTATGTCTTAATATTCCTTTGTCCTCCAATTCCTATCTTGCAAATCAGCTATCATACAAATCAAAACTTGCCAAATATTTACAAGGGAGCAGTTTTCTACACAGCTAATTTTTGTTCATACTGGCAACACAGAAAAAATATATTGATGCTTGAAAACTGAGGCAGAAGTTCTCTCGCCACAGGAAAATGAAACAATTTCCATATGAACTACCAGCAGAATGAAAGAGAGCAATTTGAGTGTCAGGGGAGTGTATTGTAACAGACAGCCAATTATCAATCATTAAGAACCTCTAGAATAGACGGTATGCCACAAAACTTCATGCAACATGAACTTTGTATCATATTACACTATAAACCTGCTCAAAACCAAAAGTGATTTGTCACCAGTATAGTACCAGGCCAGCCTGCACTGACTGTGTAGTCTGACCAGGCTCTTTAAATTTGGAAGCTCAACTATTTGTATTAAAATCCCCTTTAACTTTGAATGGACTGTTCCAATTCAAAGCAAGACAAATCCATTATAGAAATTCAGCAGGTTGAGGGATTATAGCTCTTTAAATGCCAGACACAACAGTTATGTACAAAGACTGGTCCACTTGAACTTTCACATACTCTAAACCAGTCTGTATAATTTTCATATTTTGAAATTTGCAGTCTGACATTTAGACTTTGTATAATCATAAGCCTGCTAAATTTTTATCATTTCTATTTTTGCATATCCCTAAAAGTAACAATGGACTCTTCCAGGTTCAAAGCCGGATGAATCCATTATTAAAATTTAGCTGGTTCATACTATGGAAATTCTAGCCTAAAAATAGAACTCCTGTTTGTCAGTTTCTTTACTATTATCAGTATCATTGGAGACGAGGTTAAAAAAAAAAGCTGTAAACACTCTGACTATACAACTTCCTTATTGGCCCAGAGTAAAAAAAATTAACAATTCAATTCATCAACTTTAATTGAAAATGCTTGTCTTTAGGTAATCAAACTGCTTTGAAAACATCAGTGAGCTTTTTGTCCATAGGTCATTTTGCACATCAAGACTTTATGCTAGCCAATTAGGTGCCTTTTGTTGTGAACAGTTGCCAAAATCAATGTATTGTATCCTCGATATTTGCCTATAATCTTCATTACAGAATCTGACTTTTTCAGGCTAACATTGGATGCCAAACATTTAAATGAAATGATCACAGATGTGCCCAAAAAAAATTAAAACATTTAGATAATTCTTCTCAATTTCTGATATAGGCAATTAAAAACTTAAGGGATTTCAGGAATACAAAAAAAAGAAAGAAGATTTTTTAAAAAAGTTTTGTTTTATTAAATGTTTTGTTGAAGTTTAAGTCAGGCCAACTCTGTGAAGGTCAAATAGCGACTTGCCAGTTTTTATGGTGGAGGGAGACCTCCAGTGCCCTTACGTTTGTTATTTCAGGCATAAGCTTCCTCATGTGAAATAATCGTAATTCCCTATTAGAATTCGAACCCATGGTTGTTAGGGACAAGTGATTTGAACTCTCTCTCAACTACGGAGGCCCCTTAAAAAGTTATAAGATTATAGTGACTGACTGCACGCCAGACAGGTACATGTAACACTCACAAAAAAAAAAACTGACAATATATAACACATATCTGCAGTTTTCTTTGATATGTTTTATTTGTGGTTACCGGTCTATTTTTAGTCTATCTTTGGCCAACAACTATTTGCATTCTTAATAATGACTAATTTCTTTATTGTATAGAAAGCTCCTCAAAATGCATAATCATACATGCATAAAATCAGATTTCAAATCTTTTGACCTTGAACATGTTCTATTTCTTTAAATCATACTATGTTAAAAAGGAAGTAAATATAGTTAATTACTTGTGTGCTTTTCACAACAAAACATGCAAATTTTTTAAAAAATCTTTCTTTTTTTTTTACTTTTGTTTTCGTTTATCTTGGTAGGATCTTGAAACTGCTATAAAAAGCAAACATATGTGTCATGTTGACAAGACAAAAGAAACTTATTGGAAAAAATAAACATTGTAAGTCTCTTATTTTTGTCATAATGAGGGGATTCTGTCTGCTTTTGCATTATAGTAGTAAAACATAAAAAAAACTTGTTGCCAAGAAAAAAAATTGACCAGCATTTTGACTGATAATCTCACTAAAATGACAATGGTTTATACATGTACACATGATGCATGTTGCTAGACAAAAATCTGACAACTGACAATAATTTCTGGTTTGAAGCAGGTGCTAGGAGTGCTGCATATTTTAATTTTCAATCCAATACATACTTGTTTCCCAATAAACTATTGACAGGTGCTCTGTATAATAGCAACAGCTAAAGAATGGGAATTATTATTGACTTGTGCAATAAACCCTTAAATTTGCCCTTAACCTGCTGAGAATCTGTAAGTGAAAGGCCTTTGCTACCAATATAATGCTAGGCCAGACTATGGTAATGGTACATGTAGTTCAATTCTTGTATGTTGGTACTGAATTTCCATATGTATGCGCAAACCCATTACACAAATTCAGTTAAATCAAGGCTACATAATAACAGCAGCCTCATAATAAATATATCATGAACTCCAACAATTTACATGTATATTTGCCAGAAAAAAAATCTGACAAACTGTTGTCAGGCGGATTGAACTTACTAATCACAGTGGCATTTTACAATGTTCATACACCCACAAGTACCACCAGGTTTGTTGTTTTTTTTTTTGCTCCTCTACAATTTTTTTTTGCTCGGAATGCATTCAAGCTTATTTCTCTCTTATTTCTACAAACCACACACACTCTCACCCACACTGAGGGAGACTTGTGAGTAGAAATCAATAAGTTGCTTTCCAGATTAAAAATTCATTCAGTCTCTACTCTTCTTACTCAGAATACCCTTTGAATAAAGTATACTATAATCTGACACTTTTGCTAAATCTGTATTTCTATGAAATTCCAGAATTCTTGAAAATTCTACAGTATAAAACTGAAATCACTTCTTCTTTTTTATATTCTGCTGTACATAAACGAAACACATGCAAATAATCTTTGTTCCCATGTCAGAAATGCACAAATTTTTGGCAACCACAATTACACAAGACTCCATCTTTCTATCCCATCAAGTTTCTGGTAATAATTGAGAAGAAACCTACAGACAGGGTGTGCTCAACTGATAATCTCTAGAAATATATATATAAGTTGGAATCAAAGAACTTTACAATTCAGTGTGAAAAAAAAAGGAAATTATAATATCTACATCCAATATAGTGAGTTTATACTAAATCTCTCAGACTCTGACACAGACACTTGGGGTTTGGAGCTCAAAACGCCTTCAAAATCCAAATAAAATGCAAATTTGTCAATCCCAGCACATGTACTGATCATATATATCAAAAAAACTTAATATAAGCCGTTTTGAAAAAAATTCATATTTATCTATAATTATTATAGCCTCTCACAAGTACAAAATTTTCTTGGCGATGAGGGGGACTCCGCCCCCCTTCAATCCCCCCAAACAGAAGGGGGTACATCCCCCTTCTGGCAACCCCCTGATGTATCTTTTGGTTGGGGCCGCGCCGAAAAAGAGGTCATTTTTTTTAACAACATTTCTCAAACAAAAACAAGTGTTGGGGGCCTAAATAAGGCATTTTTTCACCATTTGAGACAATAAAAAGTGGGGGGGGGGGGGTGAAAAGTCGTTAAAAGGCGTGTATATAACGTAATGGGTTAAAGAACAATTTGTTTGTCAAAAACTAACTAGTACTTTACTTACCAAAACAAAATACATAAACAGACTGAATTGTTTTCTTTCTTCTGAGGCTTGGAGGTCAAGAGAGAAACATGTATGGTTTTTTTTTTTTTGGAAGCATTGAGTTTGTGGGTTATGATTTAGTAAATTTTTGATATTCACAGTGGCCTATGCTGGTGCAGTTTGGCCAGATTTCTATTCATGCTCAATTTATTACATTTATTTCCTTTCAGCAATGATCAATCCAAAGTCAAAAGTAAAACAGTCCATTAAAACCCTTAAGATTAATAATGGGACAGTTCCAGATCTGCAAAGTAGGACTAGTTCATTAATCAAAATAGGGCAAACATGAAATCATGTTATGTAAGTTAACTTTAACCATGCCACAAATAAACATGACCTAGTACTGTATAACATACACTGACTATAGTTGGGAGGTTTAAATGAGATATTAATAAACAGGTAGCCTAGTCTGACAGTGAAGTAAATAAACAGATACAGATACATGTAATATAACCTGTGTGAAACAAACTTACTTCTTCAATATTAAAAGTGCTGTTAACTTTCTAATATATGTAAAATTAACAGAAAAAAATCTTGACCTAAATACTGAAATCACATATTACATGCAAAATGCAAATTAAGTGACATACAGATTGGTATGGTACAATACATTAAATATCTGACCCACATATTGTTTTGCACTATTAGGGATATGAAGTAACCACCAAAATGCCCTATATACAGCACAACATGTAAGTAACCCCCCCCCCCCCCCACCTCAAAATTCTTTCTTTGTTAATTGACAAAATGGATTACTAAAACAGATTTTGAGTTGTCTGGTTTAATGTCCTAACATCTTTGTAAATGTTAATTTCACACACAGACTTTCCATCATTTATAGTGGGGCAAGGTCTTAAGTGCCACTATATCTATGTTGGGCATAAGTAAAACCATCAATATACCATAATTTGAGCTACACAACATAAGTAATCCTGGTTTTGCTGGTTTACTCCTTAGACAAGGCGAAATTTCTCTACGAATAACACTAGAATGGGTTAGGGATTACAAAAACTTGAGACAGCAATATCAGTGTGAGCTTTTACAAGCAATTTAAATGACAAATAAACAAGTTACAGATATTTTGTTGTTTTTTTTTATAAGAAAATATTTCAAAAATCAATCAACCCAATTTTTCATCAGGTGTGAATTATTTGCACTGAGCAAGTTACAGCTAAATGCAGGTAATCAAGTGTTGACAAAGCATTTAAACATTAGCTAATTTTATATAAATTATTTTGCTTCATCTTTCAACTTGATTAAACATTAATGTTTTAAAAGATGCACATCTACATGTACTATGAGTATGTACTTATAAATTTGCTGTAACACAAGTTCAACTTTATGTACTTTAAACTCAAGAAGATAGTATCATTTTCTTAGAAATTTGAATATTCTCCTTGGCCAAAAAGCAGAACAAACCAGGGAAAATACATATTTAGTTTCATTTGACTGAACATTTTAGTAAAGTTGCTCCTGAAGTGTCAAGTTCATTTCACATTGAAATAATATACAGCACTACCTGGGCAGAGCAAGTTAAAATTTTGTTTGTTGCTGACAGGTGTTGTTCTGGAGAGCTTTAATTCATATGATAAGTATTTGATTCTGTTGTAAAGAGGTAGTTGCTCTTCAAAGGGCTACTTCTGAGGTTACACTGTGATTCCCAACAATTTAAACTTAAGTAGACAATTTAAAATTATACACTGACCTTTGTAACATATTGCACTTATAATGCAGTGTTTCTTAAAAAAAAAATGCCTTTAAATAAAATAGATCTTTTATGTTACTTCCTTATAATCAAAGCAGTCATTTTGGCTGAAACATGACATTTCTTTCCGTTAATATGCAACTAATTCACAGTTAAATGTATTTGTAATTTTCATTACATACCTGCTGGTGTTGAACCGAATATCCTCACAACCGGAACTTTCTTTACCTCGGAGCATCGCTGTTCGGCATAATGTACATCCAGACCCCTAACGGGCGCGGACATATAATGGTCAGTGGATACTATCCGCACTGAAAACATCTTCAACTAGCTTCCATCCTGAAAATAAATGTAAATTTTTATGACTTGAAGGTTACATGTAAAGCTTAAATTCAAATGTGACAATTACAAAACACAATGTATAGAAATGTATGGTAGGGAAATATGATCTCAAAAGAAGTACATACATGTGATATACTATAATCTGCAATCAATGTGTGAGGAAAAACAATGAAGTCTGTTGGGTTTAAATTTTTATCCCACCCCCTCCCCCTCCCCCCTTTAATTCATACACTAGGCTTCACTTACTTTGCAGTTTGGAACTGTCCAATGCTACTTTAGGGGATTTCAAGACAAGAATCTAACGAAAATTTATCTCTAAATTAGAGACAATATAGAGATGCAAGCCAATTTGGCTCTATAAAGGTCACACAGTTTCATCCCAGCTTTGTCGCAAACTTTTTCGATTGGGAATTTTTATCCGAGAAATGGATAAAAGATATCATAATTTATTGATTGGGAAAAAATAATCCAAAAATTATGAGCTAAAACAATCAGCACAAAAATGTCCTGCTACATGTATATGGTTACTTTTTCCTTGCATGAATCAATTTGGGTTTGGCTCACGGTGGTCATTTTGATAAAATCATCAGTCGTTAAAAAACTACTTTGTAGCTAGCTGCATGTATATAAATTCCTCAGTACAGAATTCACCACTTTTGTCAATCATGATAAGGGGGATTACATGTAGTATAGAATGAATGTAACAAACCCTCTCCCATTAAACTAACTTTGTCAAATCTTTCAGCTTTGGCTAGGAGTTAAGTAGATAGTAAATCCAGTACTTTATATAGTTTACAAAACAATTACTTCATGAATTCAATTTTTTTTTCTAGAGAAGCCTTTAAGCTATCAGGCTATCAGCATTCAGAGATGATCAAAGTCAAAAGAGAAATCTGTTCTATCAATATGGCTACATTTTGTATACTGTACTGTAACAGGGTCACCAAAAAATTACAATCCTGAGTCACAGTCTGGTGGAAATATGTGCCAATAGTAGCAAATCTTTATTTTGTCAGACATCCAAAAGAAGAAATGATCTTTTTTATTCCAAAGATACATGTACAAAATGAAATTCAATGTTAATTACATTATATAAATTTCAATGTTAATTTTAAACACAAGATAGCTCGTGCTAGTAACTACAGGACCCTCTGTCATATGCACTTCTTTCCAGAGAAAAATCATGTCAGGTTCTCTGGCTGGACAGTGGTTTTTCTCACTTAATTGGGAAATTTGAAAGAGGCCTTTTCCTCTTGATATTTGGAAAAATTACCGCTACAATTGCTTATTTGGAAAGTAAAAAAGTTCAGGTGTAAGTAAAGATTTTTTGGGAAAACTGCATGACTTTAAAGATCATCAATTGGGAAGAGGACTTTTAAAGGACACCGTTCTACAAGGAGAAAAATCACCGCTGGACTATTCATTGGGCTTAAGAGTGATACAAGAGCCTGTTTAATGTAGACATTAAGGAAGAGAGGCATTTAAATCAAAAATGACAATCATTCATGACTCTTGGATTCAGAGTGACCCAGATGCATACATGTATTTCGCCAGAGTTATGGATCCAGCTTCAAGAAAATTTTATCAGTAAGCTTTGAAGATTGATGTTGCATGCAAAAAAATATCACTTTTCTAACATCCAGAATATACTCATATACTCATAACTGGTAGTATGTCTGCATTTTAACTATCATCTAATGCATTTTCCTGCTAAATTTTCTAGAATGAACTTGTCCTCTCTTAAACTTGGAATTGTCTACTGTAAATATGAGGGGAGAACTGAATTATAACAATACATCAAGCAGACAGTATTACAGAGACTAAAGAGAGGCTGGTGGCATATGCCGTCATAAAGGGTAAATAAATCAGAAATCAGCATGACAGTCATTGTTGTCTCTCGGGAGACTAGCGCAATCCTTTCTATAAGCACCACATTTACAGCAGTGTTATCAATGCATTATTTGCATAGTAGCAAATTTTAATATCTAGTCTCTAAACGATAATTGTGTTTCAATACAAAAAGCAACAATGATAAATTATGATGCACAGTTTCTGTATTTGAGAGTGCAAGGTACAATCATTCATAACAAGATTTGCACTTTAATTCAATGACTTACTTATTTTTTTTTAGTTATTACCTTTTTAAACTTGAAAATGGGTGTAACTGGGATGCATCAAATAAAATTTCATTAACTCGGCTTCACAGATAAGGAAAAGGGCTCCACCCTTAAAGTTGGGGCTTTTTTTTGCAAAAAGAAAGAGAAAAAATAATTCATCAAACTGAATTTTAGAGGAAAACTACATGATTTTCAAGGGGAAGAGGCCTAAAAACAGCCCCTTTATATATAATTCAGAAAAAAACCCATATATTAATCTTTAAGTAGTGAAGTTAACTACTATAAACAAAAAACTGTTAACTGACACGGATGCTGTCAACTGGGCCATGGCAATACATTGTAGCTCTGCTTTTCCGGAAAATAATGTTAAATTATACTTAAAATCATTGTTTAATGAAATTCTACAAAATAATTACTGTTTAGTCATAACTTACAAAACAGTTGCATGTTTCATTTATTGAGCAAAGAAATCTAAATATTCTAAACACTTCTCAGTTAAACCAGTATGATAATTTCAGACAAAAGTTTTTAAAATTATACTTATTTGAACTGCTTTACTTCAGACAAGATATTAAAGTAAAGTTTAAATGCTGCATCTTGCATCCATTCATTGCATCTATTTAATGGATCTAGGGATGCATCTGTCAGGATGAGTTTGTATTCATTGTAACTAATATGCTAATAAAATCTACTCAAAAAAGGTCAAAATTTAAAAAAGTGTAAAAAAATATATAGATTAGAATATAAAATCTGTTTAACATAAATTTAGATAACTTGTCATTAAAAATTGTTAAACAGAAGTGAGCATCTGTCTGTAATATAAACCATTAAGTATATGGCATCAAAAAATATGAGACTTTTATCTGAAGCAACAGATGTGCCAACGAAAACAACCAATTTGGCCGAGGGTTAAAACACAACCTATTTTAACAGCATTTCAACCAATGTTATGGATTACCAATCTGTTAATAATGAAAACCCTGGAGACATATAAAATAAAGGTTGAAATAAACATACTGGTAAAAGCAAAGGGGTAGATGTCTATATATAAGGAGTGTCACCTGGTTTTTATTTGTTTGGGTCGTCAGACCAAACAAATAATGGTAGCGAAATTTCAGACTCTAATGCTGTTAATTGCAAGTGCCGAAAGTAGTCCGCTTTATTGAAGCGGTTACTTCCTTTTATATGTAACACTTAGGCCAAAAATTTAGGGGAGATCACTGCGTAAATATGGTCACACGACAGGCGGATTAATTTTCAAGCAAAATAATTCCCGAATGGTCGAAGATTTCTAATATTGTTTTATTCTTTAAAAATATAAATGCTTATAGTAAGCACCATAATTATTTACACAAGTGTTAAACAACAGTTAGCGTCGTTACTAACTCTAAATAGAATAATATGGTTTTCTTCAGGCCGTTAAAGGCCCAACTGGACTATAAAAGCTAGCAGATGGCGCTAGGGCAGGTTTCTTATTAATTATATGCATGCTTCACTTCAGGGACCCTTTTTCAAACATTTAAGATTAATTACCAATTGCATTAAAACAACACTTGGCATGTTTGTAGGCATAGATATTTTTGATAAAGATTGACCAAAATTATTCAAAATATAACTTTGTAAAGTGTATTTCTGGAAAAAAATACTGGCTGTCAAATTTGAAATTTGAATTTCCCTGGGAGGAGCCATGTGATCATTACAGGTCATGAACCTTCAGTAGTAAACAGAAGCACGTGGCAGTGTTTATTTCAGGGAGAGAGATTTGTAGCAGACCATGTATATTTCAGGGATGGAGATTTTCAGCAGACAACACATTGGAATGCTGAATACATGATAAGAAAAAAAAACCAATAACTTTTACTGAGATGCTTTATCAAATCAAACAAATTTACAATAATCCATTAATATATGATTTTTTTTTAAATTTCAAAGTACTGGTTTAACTTGTATTTGAATGGTTTAACCTTCATGAAAACAGTAAAAGTAACTTCCAGGTATATTTCATTTACACTATATTTTGTTGTAAATATCTTGTAGTCAAAAACTACATTTCACAAATGTTAATGAAACTGAATGTTGCATTTGCATAAAAATTTTATACATTAACAGCTTAAAAATATTTTAAATTCCTGTCAAGAACATTTTTAGCATGTTGTTCCTATGTAAGGCAAATCTTTTGGATTTGGATATAATGGTCTGACTTGATGAAGGACACATACAGCATTCCAGTGAAAAAAAAAGAAAAACAACTGACTTCAAAAATAATAATGTCTTTAATTAATCTGTGAGTTATATAAAACATCCATTAAACCTCTCCTGTGTAAAATCAGCTGTTTTTGTTTACATTCTCTCTGCAGGTTAACACTGCATGCTATTTATAGTTCAGGGTTTATAACAGACAGTTTTACATCACTGATTAGTCACACCCACAAATACTCGCTGCCAAGGCAGCGAATGTTGCCCCTTTAACATATAAATTCACCGTGGCCGAGGGGTTAGCGCGCTCGCTTAGGAAGCGAGAGGTCTGGAGTTCAAATCCCAATTACGGCAACTCATTTTTTTTCTTCAAATTGTTTTTCAAATTGCTTAAGTCAAATAAACATTGAATCGAATATCAGTGTTGCAATTAGTCTTATAGCTAATCTACTACAATTAAAACGCTGGAAAGCATTGGTGGCACTATACAAAAACAAATTGTTTTATAATCTCACAACCTTCACATTTCTGACATTCTAAGACCCAAACAAATTCAGCGCATTCTGTGCTTTGATTTGGGTCTGGACCTAGTTTTGGTCACAAATAACTCAAATATAGAGTCCAGGCACCATTACAACCCCCTTTGGGTAGATGTATAAAATTATCAGCAGTTCCTGCGACCAA